TTTTAATACCTAGAGTCTAAGAAGAAGATACTACAAAGAGATAAGAAAGTATCACCTCTCCCTTGCACAAAATGTTGATCTGTTTGATGATATAATTATTGCCATTAGGAATCACATCCCTAATAGGTTCATCTAGTGCAAAACATCCTGCCACAAGCTAGCTGCCAGTCAGCCCAGTTGACATACACAGTTCATAGCTCTGCTGCCCAAAGGGAACAGGTTTTCCAGAGAAGCTGTGGATGTCCCATTCCTGGAAGTGTTCAAGGCCAGGTTAGACAGGACTTTGAGCAACCTGAACTAGTAAAAGTGTTCCTGGCCATAGTAAGAGGACTGGATTCACAGATTTATCATTCAGACATATTGTCACTAACTACAAAACTCTTATAGACACCTGGGCTACTAACTCTCAAGCCAGGACATACAACTTCATGATGGACAATTACTATCTCTCAGTTGCTCTGTAGCAACATTCAACTTTGCTCAAGGAAAGACCACTTATGTAGAAAGAAACTGCCTTATGTGTTTGCCCATATTTCTTTCCTAATGGATAAATTCCATTTGCATTTAAATCAAGTAGCCATGCCTGAGAGAGAACGACATTTTAAAAAGCTGCAGCCTAAACAGAAAACAAGCCTAGCAACTAAATCATTAACCTATTGGGAGGGAAATACTTCCTTTACCAGTGTGGAATGCTGTCCCCAAGGCATTGCGATACACGGAAACATACACAACACATGGACAATTGTAGATATTTGTTCATATGTATGTAGGATTCTTACAGTGCACTCCAGCTCAACAGACACTAAACACTTTGGCAAATTCATACTCTAAATTCCATAGGTTTGCTGACCCTCAGGCTTTGGATAATGCAGTGATGATCATTATACCAATATTACATGCGATGTCATGATCATTTCAATAACTTTCAGTAACAATTTGGTATTCGTGACACTAATTTCATGATCCATTCTGCCTCGTCAGAGGCAGATACAGATTTTCCTGCTCACATCTTCCATGTCTCTTTCCATGTTATATGTCTTTATGCCTTTCCTTCTGCTCCCACAGCTGGGATGGAGGCTGTGAGGAAGGAGATGGACCTTGATTCCGGTTGCTCATTCTAAACCCAAAGATAGTGGGGGCAAAACCTCCGTAAGTATGCAGTTGAAAGATCTTAAAAAGAGTTTGCTGCAGTAAGGGTAAAGGAGTCCAACCACTACAGCCCTTCTTTACAATACAACTTCATCATGGTTTGCAGTCCCCACTCTATAACAAGATAGGAAAGCAAAAGATTAGCAAGGAGAGAGACCCACCATACACATCCCCACCCATAGCTGACTGAAACATAGCTCCTTTGACTGGAAAGGTGAGTAGCATAATGCCAAGAAGCATCATCTTATATAATTACATCATTTGACTCTCTATCATGATTGCATAGTAAAATAATTATAATTTTCCTGGATGTAACTCAAATCTGGACCAGGAGAATCCACCATGGAAATGTTTTTGTAATTTGAATTAATCCTGGGTTAATCTACTAGATTGTGGGGAGTTAAAAAAATACCCCTAATTATTATGGGTCCTGTGCAGCACCTCAGTCACAAGCTCTGGCGCCTTCCTTTATAAAAGATCTTTTAAAAGTTTATCCTACTCATTAGAGGAAAGACAAAACCCAAGTAAACAACCCAAATAAAAACAGAAGAAAAACAAATCTTTCTTAATAAAAAGTCAAAAATATATTTTCAGGAGATATGCAACAATGCTCTGCAACAATTCTGAATTATTAGTTCTCAGAAATGATCTTCAGAAAAGCCTCAACCCAATAGTGAAAACCTCCCAACCCAACACGTTCATGCGCACAGTTAATCCCTGTGTGTACAAGGTGGAAATAGGAGAGTACCTCACCTCTGATGAGCGGCGGGCACTTTCTCTAGCAAACATTCACCCACGTCCTCATTTGTTTTATTGCACTACCAAGACATCGGGGAACCCTGCCTGTGGGGTGCTCCAGCCGCTCTCCGCGCAGACCGGGGAGCTGGGCCGGCAGCCCACGGGGAAGCGCGGGGAGGGTGGTCGCAGCAGCGGCCGCAGGTGCGGTGGGTCGCCCCACAGTGTCACCCCGCCGGGAGCCAGCCGGGTGCAGCAGGACGTCGTCCAGCCGCCAGTGCCCTCGCTGCTCCGCTCCGCTGCCGCCGTAAGGTGAGGCGGCGTCGGGGGAGCTTGGAAGAGCAGCACCCGCGGGGAAAGCACCCCTCCGAGCCCACCGAGCTGCAGCCCTCCCTCTCCACAGCCTAGCCAGTGCCCCGAGCCGCCCTCAGCACCGACCTGGAAAAACCCGTGCTGGACCCTCAGCTCCGCCCGCGCCTCCCCTTCCAGGGCTGCAATCCAACCCGGCGGCCAGCCGCGACGGCAGCCGCTTCCGAGCCCCTCGACGTACCCAATATCTCCTTCCTGCGCTGCGTGTGGGGCTGTTCCGTGTAGACCCACTCGAAGTCCTCGCGGGTGACACGGTTTCCCATGGTTTCCGCTGCGCTCCGCTCCGCGCTGCTCTTTTAGCTCCGCGACCAGCGGAGGAGCTGCTCCGCCCGCCGTCTGCCTCCGCCCTGCCGGCTGCCTCTCGCCTCCGGCGAGCGCCGGCACTGCGCCGCGACGGGGCGGCCGCGGAGGCAGGTGCGCGAGGATCGGGGCTGCCTCAGGACTGGCTCGGGGGGGAGGGCAGAGGACGCTCAACCGAGATTCTCCGTGCCGTGCGGGCTCCGAAGGCAGCAGAGCGAGGAGTGCGGGGTGGTTTGCAGAGCAGCAGGATACCTATCATGCTGCTGCCAACACCGTGGTGCCCACTGGAGCTCAACATAGCCACCGCAGCCTTCCCCTCCTGGGGGAGACTCAGACAGCCAGGCATCACCAGCAGCACCAGCAGTGCAGACTGGTCCCCGGGCACTTCCAGACAAGACTTTTAGAAAACAAGTGTAGTCCAAATGCCATAAATCCAACACCACAGCCCTAAGCATAACATAATTTAGGGCGAAGACCAGTCACGTCAGCTCTTCCCAGGGGTGGAAGACCTGGGACAGTGCAAAAATGACCGACGCCTGACACACATTTCCTTGGCCCTCTGACAAATCCTGTGTGAGCTGTTCCAGTAGCATCCAGCCTTTGGCTGGGTCACGCTTCCCTCCTGGGAGTCTGTGGTGCATTTCCCAGGCCCAGCACCATCGTGGCTGAAGAAGGAGGAAATCCCTTGGTAACAAAGCCAGGCAAAGGACTGGCTAACCTTAAAAACCAAAGCAAGCTTTCTAACCCCTTTAACCTCTCTGATTCACAAAGAGTTACACGGTGATGTTTCTCCACACACCCAACCCAAAATTAAAGTGTTGCTCTTGTTCCCACTATGCTCTTTTGCAAGCCCATACCTGACCCACAGTCCATCTGCAGTGTTTGCTATCCTTAATCATTATTCCTGCCACCGACAACATCCCATTTGGGTCAGCTCCATGCTCTGAAGACAACTTTGTTTCATTCTGTTTCATTATGAATCTCTTTAGCCCCCTCCCTACTCTCTTACCCTTACCAATGTCTATCACACCTGGAAGTGAAAAGGGGCAAAAACGCAGCCTTGCAAATGTGAAATGTGAGTATTTTTCAGCAATAACTGGCAAACACTGGCAATACTGTCACCTCTTACTTTAGCCTAGTTTAGATATTTAAGATGTCTTGGTAGCACAGTCACATAAAATGATATGGGTTTAAAACCACTAACCAAAAAACAACCCCAAGCCCCAAACCCTCCCTCTTGACTGCTAGAAAATATTTGGAGCCTTCTTTCTTTTTCTATTTTTTTTTTTTCCTGAAATGGTCTAAATACGAACCCTTGAATGCTTAAATGTCCAAAGCAGGTTCAGCGGAAGGAGTATGGGGTAAATGTAAGCAGCTTTACCCAGAGCAGGAATTTAACCACTTTTCTTTTAAAGGTCAGCTGTCTGTAAGTACAGTGGTTTCTTCACCTCTGCTCCAGCATAAGGTTGATGTTTTCCCATAAAGTTGCAGGGCCCAACCCAGTTAATGGACTGTTAACCCAAGTTAAGGTTATTGCATGTCTCTATAAGGAATGAATTAGTGTATCTCAGCCTAAACCTTTAATTGGCTCAAATGTTTTGGCTTGTTGACAGTTTCGGAGGAGAAGCCAATGACAACATGAATGTGATGACACCTTTCTGTCACTTCCTGCTCAGGAGTGCTCAAGGTGACTAAAAAACCAAATTAGTGGCGAAGTCCATGCAGTTACAAAGAACACAAATACGACTTAATCCCCAGAAGTTTATTCAATAGGCTAGTGCTATTGCATATGGTAAGTTACGCATGGAAAGTTAAGTATCTCCTTTGCAGGCAATGGCATTGTCTTCATGTAGCTTATTACTATAGCCTCAGCCCAACCACATCAGAAGAAGAGAAAGCTTTTCTGTCTCCAGTGAGTTGCCATCTCTTTTTGAGAATAGAATTTCGTGCTTTATTTTTCTGTAATAAGCCAAACAAATCATACTAATTTCAGAGTAATTGTGAATGCCAGACAAATGAGAAATGCTGGCTGTAGACCACTTTCTAGAGTAGGAAGAACTATCATTCAGCTCTGACCATTTAGCATCCTTAGTTTTATAGCATGCTAGTAAAGTGCAAACAGGCTTACAATCATTCACAAAGGAAAAAGAAGGGGTATTTTAATGTCACCTGGGAATAATCGCCCTTTTAATGAATGCTGTGAACTCCACAGGTTCATATACTCACTACACTTTATGGCAATTCAAATGTGCTTCATACATGCTCTCCCAGCTGTAGCCTTCCTTTCTTCAGCAATTTCCTATACTAGTTCAGGATTTCTGTCTGTATGGGAAGCCTACCTGAGTGAAATTCCTAACATGCTCAACAAAAGGAGCACAACTGCTGACACTATGGGGTGTACCATCAAATATCTCATCTACCTCGTTTCAAGTACACATCATGCTCACCTTCAGCATCCCAGCTGGCAATTTCCATGGTAAAAAAAAAAAAAAGACAAAAATCCTTTGCTGCACTGAGGACATGACCTACAATCTGCAGCTCTGAAACAAGACTCCTGGTCCTCTCTTCCACATGGCCAGGCAAACTCATGTTTCCCCACCCAAAGGTGGCTTTCCACCAGCTGGCTTCCAGCAGGAATGTATTTCTGTACGCAACCCGGCAACTTCCTCCTTCCACTTACTAAAAGAACAGGTGACGCAGTAAATTCAGCAGGAACACCCGCACATTTCCCAGTGGCTACTGCCAGCCCAAAAAGCAGGCTTGGAGTTTGAGGCATCTTAATTCTGCCCTGGTGTGCAGGCCTTAACTCCTATTCTTCTGGTTGCCAGAGATTAAACTTTGTTAAAGTTAATGCTCTGGAAGTAAAACAAAGTTGTTTGGCAATTTTGTCTCCAAGTAAGTATTTCTCCCTCTAGAATAAAGAGCTCCATGTCTGATGACAAGCTTGTATTTTCAGTTCTTACATTACTTAGCTTCTTCTCTGCCTGTATAAATTGCACCTGCCTTCATAATTGATTATGTGAAGAAAACATAGCTGTATGTTCGCATGTTTAGAAAACATCCTGCAGTCATTTCAAATTGGTGTCATGCTCTGTGTTGATGTAACTAGCAACATTTACAGCGTGATGTACTCTACTGCACAAAGTCAATTTTTCATAGGCAGCGGAATTTGTCAGCGAGCCACGTCATCAACATACACTCCCACCAGAGTTCACTCAGGGGAAATAATTTGCCAACAAGTTGTATCTTCTGATGCCCCTCTTACCTGTGCTGGCCCTTCCCTGGCCAGTTCTGCCTTTCTCTTTCCACTGGGATAACGTGACGCCAGAACAAAGGTGTTACGGAATCTTAGGGGGAGGAAGATGTTTTCTGTTGCCAGTATAAGTTGTTAGATACGTTTAGTTCTGTTATATGTAACCCGCCCGGTAGCGACACGGACCTTTCATGCCGGTTCTCACTAAGCCACATTTGCCCCGCACTCAACGAATCCTGCAGGACGCAGGCTGGCGCACGGCGTCTCTGCCCGGGAGCTCCCAGAATGAGAGGCGAGGTTCCAAGGCAGAAACAGCTCCCTACGCCACCAGCTCACCCCTGCCGTCCCTTGCTGTCACCCAGCCCCGCACTGCGGCGCGCACAGCGGTCGCCCTCCGCCAGGCCCGAGCCCGGAGCGTGGCCACCGCCTTGTGCCGCGCCTAGAGACACCCTCCCGCGGCCGGGATCGCCGCTAACGCGGAGAGGCCAACGCCCCGCCCAACGGCGACAGCGAGCGCAGCCTGCCCCCTGCCGGCCCCCGCCGCCACTGCAGCGTCTCGTCGGGCCCGGGCGCGCCCAGCGGCGGCGGAGCCCCGCTCCGAAGGGGAGCGAGCAACTGGCAGGCAAGGTGCGGGCTGGGCTGGGCTGGGCTGGGCTGGGCTGGACTGCGCTGCCGTGCCCTGGCCTGCCGCGCCCTGCACTGCCCTCACCCCACGGTTCGCACAAGAGCATCTTTCCCGACCCGGGGGGACCACGCGGGGGTACTGCGTGTGCGGGATCCTGGAGGTGAATCCCCTAGGAACCACCTCCGGGCCATGAGTAGTAATGCTGTGCGTGCTTCGCCTGCTACAGCTGTGCGGTTTTTTTATTCCAGCAAGTCTCGTTGTCCTGTGGATGCAACGGAAGCTAGCAAAAGGGGAGACTACAGCTGATGAAGGGCTAATCTCACGGGAGCAATAGATGTGAGTTGGTTGCACTCAGGTGTTCTCATCTCCTTTAGAAATACGTGCTTAAGGAATTTTAAAATCATAGGATGATTCAGGTTGGAAGAGACCTTAAAAATCACCTAGTTCCAACTCCCTGCCAAAAAGAGAGACACCTACCACTAGGCCAGACTGATCAAAGCCCCATTCAACCAAAGTTTAGCAGATGTAGGCCTTCTGCAATTAATGACCAAATACCAAATGTGTTCAGGACCACTTCTGAAAATTCAAACGGAAACAATTTCCTTTTCTACAAAAATATTTTTTTCTGATGTTACATTTTACTCTTATGCTTCTTAGCTTTTTCAAAGAATCACAATCTTTCTGGAATGTAAATTATTCCACAGAGTGGTTTATATTGTTCAAAGTGTTTGCAATTGCTTTCTACCATGATACGTATTTGCTTTTACACACGAGAAGTACTTATCCCATGAGTAGCTTACCCTACACTCCCTGCAATCTTGGCATGTCAGGAACAGTTTTATGAGCATCCTAGTACAAATACCTGAACGGAGTGTATTAACTAGACTCCCACAGCAAAAAAGCTATATACAAAAAGTAGCAACACTTGTAATTGATTATCCAAACATGAGAACCTAAGGGCTTCCCTTTTGGTACAGAGTGTCAGGTTTATGAAAGGATGTCAGTCCTGTGAAGAAAGACATCAGATTAACACTGGGTTTCTCTCCTCCCCCTCTAAGCATTGATGAATCTCTCCTCTAGAACCCCATGCTGCCACACACCAAAGGTACAGCAGTTCTTTCTAGGAGACAGTTAACCAGAGCAGATCTCCTCTTTCAAACACCCTTCCTGACACTCAGGTTTCAACCCAATACACTTAAAACCTGATTCATTTCAGTGCTGCTGAGCTCACTCTGACAATAGGAGTGACACAGGGTTATGAGAGGGCCTTTGTTCAATCTCTTGAAGTCAGAGCTTAGAGGGAAAAAAAAGCCACTTGAAAATGGCTGGTTGTGCCTATGTGTATGCATGTGTGGATGGAAGTATGGGAGGAATTCCCGCTGCAGGGAACAGCTGGAGAACAACTTTGATAACAAACTGTGCTAAATGTATAGATTGTGTCATACAGTCTCTGTTTTTTGCTCAGGAGAAATATTTTTAGCCCTCATTTATATTGTAGTAACACATACAGTCCCTCCAGAATGGACTAGGATTTGACTATAAAACCATGAAGTAAAATTACAATATTTCCACCAATAAGTTTGGGTTATAAATCCTTCTATTATAAGCACTCTAGAAAAAAATATTGATCAGCTTTGCCTACACCTAAGGAGTATGAGTTTTTATACTCAGATTTTAACAAACTATCAGAGAAAACTGAGTCACAGTGTCTATTGCCGCTTAGAAAATCTAGATAAGTTAAGAAAAGCATACTTGCCCTTGGGCTTTCACTGAGACTGCAGCGATTTATAGATCTTATTTATTTCCAACTATTTACCCTTATTCATTTCAATCCAAGATTTATTTTTCTTTTAAAATGTAATATGAACTCTAGGGGTATTTCTTTCTTAGTGCTACTGGGATCTATCAATACCTGGTGACTTTAATGGAAGCTCAGAGCTCTGCACTTCCCAGCATCATGTCTGGCATCCATAACCCAAGCAAACACACATGCAGGAAGAGGGCTAGGAAGTCTGTAAGACAACATAAATTATACGGATGAGAGCTGTAGGTTTGCTCCCAGCATGCAGAATGAGCAGTTAGGATACAAATGCACACATATTGCCTATGCTGTCATGATTTCATGTATGATGATGTATTATTTCCCAGAAGCTTCTGCATCTTGTGTTGTCCATGATTTACAAGATACAACCTATTCAGATGACCACACACATCCTATGTTGATAAGTTTAAGAAGGCTGAGGATTTTTTGAAGAGTATTTTCATATCCTCAACCACCAAATCAGGAATGGAGGAGAAAACCTACATTTTTGATCATCAGCTTTACAACTCAATACTAATTATTTGTGTTTTCCACACACAATTAAAGGGTTAAATGTTTCTGGGGCAAGGATTAGGCCCACTGATTCATGTATTCTTTCATACAGTAAGAAAGACAAATTACATGATCTTGTCCTTACAACAAAACCTGTTCAATGAGACTGGGTTGACAAGTGACCATAACTTGGAAATTAGTTTGGAATGGTGGCAGTGCAAGCTCTATCTCCCTCCCTCTGCAAGATTACAGATGAGAGAACCCTTCCTTGCTGTGCTCAGTCTCAAAGATGCAAGCAGACGACAAACGCAATAAATCTCAGCAAATTGGTTGGTGTAGGTTTGTTAGCTTCTTCGTTTATTTTTAGGAGGGGAATCTGAAGTAGGATGTGGTACAGCAAAGAAAACAATATTAAAAGCACCAGGGAAAGAAAGAGAAAAAGAGGTGCACACAGAATTCATTGCTTGTTCCTAGGCATGTTCAGCAAGCAGGACCTTACGCTCATAATGAACCTTTAAATGTGTTCTGTAGGAGTCCATACATAAATTGGGATCAGGGATTTCCCTCATGTTTAACTAGCAGTCTGAGGAGAGAGGACAGGGACATCTGTGGTAGAAGCTAGTGGGCCATAAAGGCCAGGCATGGTGGTAGCTATATTAGATCAGCTGCAGATAAGGAGGCTAAATTATAGAGGACTACAAAGGTAAATTTAAAACTGCATTTCTTACAGAGCTGCAAAGAGCTAGGACAAGGACTCTGGGAAAGGGTGGCATAGCTAATTAGCATCTTTATTAGTGAATTGCCTTAATGGCACTGGAAATCCTCCTTTAGATTTTCTGAGATTTTTGTATTTTTTCTTCAAGATCTCTCCCATTTTAATTGATTAATAAGCCATTCTAGATGCAGAAGAAAAACCTAATGTCCTAAATTGGCAGAACTTCTTGATTTGTCTTACCTAGGTTTTTAACAGGTGTTAAGAAGAGAGCAACTTATTATAAACTACTGATTTTCTTTTCCTCCATTAAGTGACTCTATATATGGTCTTCTTTATGAAAGAGCAAAAGCACCTTTAAAGCTATTCATGACACATATTTAACTAGATAGGTAAGTATTATCAGTTTAGTTTATTGGTGTAGATTTACAATAGAAGGGCTAATCTTTCTGCTCAAACATCAGGCAAATTATGTGAGAATGAGAAGAAAAAAATGGGGCATCAGAAATTTCCAAATCAGTGGATTTGAATGGCTGAGTGAAACAAATTGGGAAAAGGGTATGTTGACCCCATTGGAGGCAAAAGAGGAGGCTGTAGATGATGACTGTGAAAAGGTCACTTGTTTCTCAAGTTTCACACTTCAAATTTCTTTTTCTTTCTCACTTCCATGTAAGCTGAAGGGGAAAGGAACAGGACTAAAACAAAACAAAACAAAAAATTAGAAAATAAGTGATTTTTGTGTTCATTCTTTCATAATTTGTGTAAGACTAACTTATTTTCTGCGAGCTTCCTTTTCTTAAAATACAACAGACTTATGTATATAAGAAGTAATTCTTATTTAAAAGAACAATTACCTAGTTTTGGCTTGATACAGGTGTAATAGGCTAGAACAATTAGTTCTGCAGTATGAAATGAGAATCATAGAACAGTTAGGGTTGGAAAGGACCTTAAGATCATCTAGTTCCAACCCCCCCTGCCATGGGCAGGGACACCTCACACTAAACCATGCCACCCAAGGCTCTGTCCAGCCTGGCCTTGAACACCACCAGGGATGAAACATTCACAACTTCCCTGTGCAACCCATTCCAGTGCCTCACCACCCTCACAGTAAAGAACTTCTTCCTTATATCCAATCTAAACTTCCCCTGTTTAAGTTTGAACCCATTGTCCCTTGTTCTGTCACTACAGTCCATAATGAAGAGTGCCTCCCCAGCATCCTTGTAAGCCCCTTCAGATACGTGAAGGCTGCTATGAGGTCTCCACGCAGCCTCCTCTTTTCCAGGCTGGTTTCTGCATACTGATGGGGATGACAATTTACTACAGCAACTGTAGTAGTCCTTACTTTTAAGGAAGGAACCAGGAAAAAAAAAACAAACAAACAGATAAATCTGAGGCATCTAGAGCTTGTAAAGAATATATATTCTTATAAACTTATTTGTTACGGAAGCTTAAAAATAACTTTTGTTTCTAATTGAAGGTTTTAATTTTTTTAAATAAAGTTCCCCTGCCTCCCCTCCAACTTTTTAAATATGGCTAAGAAACAACCTGGAGTTCTGAAGATGGGGAGGAAAATGAGGTATGGAAGGCAGGAAGATAAGGGGTTATCAAGGGAGTAAATGCTGCTATTTGGATAGAGGACAGCATTTTCTTTAAAACACTTTTTCATTGGACAGCTTGCACATCTTTAATTTTGCTTGTTGCTGTATTTGTTTTCTCACCAAGCATTTGGAAAAATTATGTCTAATTCTTGCAGCTAATGAAAAATAATCATATACAAGTTAAGCAGATTATCTTGCTCGGGATGAAGAGAACTGTATAATGGAAAAAACACAAGATCTGATGAAGAGTATTTGCCTCATGTAACGTTTCTCTGAAAAATAATGTAATGTGAATGCTGCAACAAAATATTAAAACACTGGGTTTAGGCCAAAGTATGGGGAAAGTAGAAAACACTAGCAACATTCGAAATAAGTTGGTTCTGATGCTTACAAACTTCAAAGTGCCTTTTTTTGTCCGAAGTTATACATTTGTTTGCAATAAAACCACAAAAATGAAATAGGATTGTATAAAATTGTTAAACTACTATCACTGACCCAGACAAAAAAAAATTATATTGATAAACAAGAGAGATTTGTGACTTTGTTCCTATATTTGAAAAAGCTCATTTACACTAACACCTTCACCCAAAATAATGGACCCAGGGCCTGATCTCACTTACTCTAGTAAATGACAGCTCTGGTGTGAATTCAAGAGCAGTACAGAGTGCACATTGAACATGTAAGTGAGACTACTATTTTGTCTAAACAAGCTTAGAATAAAAAGTATATGTGAGTTGTGCACTTTTCCTGTTAAAAATAAATAAAAATGAGCCCTGTAATGACTCACCATTTTTTATTATGTTTAACTTTTACTGTGGGACAACAGAGACTTCATCCTAATTTTCAAATAGTTTTTTAAAACTTACAAGCACTATTTTTCCCACACTCTTACATTTGCCCTTCCAAGTACAGAGAGAGAAGCAGAATCTATATGCAACAGTCTGGAAATCTCTTTACAGGATCTAAAAATAACCTTTCAGTTTATGGGAATTTTGCAATGATAAACCCCATGTTGCTGTTTGTTAAAATGGGAGCGCTGAGAACGATTGGAGGGAAGGAATTCCCAGATCTACACAAGTTAAGTAATTTTGTTGCTATTTTGAATACTTAATTTCCTAATCTCATCATTAGCCCAAGGCTCAGTACTGCTGTCTTGAGACTTGGACTAGACTAACCTTGAAAACACTTCATGCTGAGGTAGAAGAAAGTATTTCTTAGCAGGAATCTTTTATCGGTTTCTGTATCCTGGCAATTTGGGATATGAGCAAGCAAAGCAGTGATGTAGTGGGAAATAAAGATAAAAATTGAGTGTATTTTGCACTCATTTGGTAATTAGCCTTGTAAGGGGCCAGACCTCCCGGGTAACCGAGTACACGAACTTGGTTACTGATCTCCACGGGCTGTGATTTCAGACTGCGCTGCCGCTGCCGGCGAGTTGGAACCGAGACACGGCGCTCCGAAAGCGACCAACTCGCCGGGGGGCAAGTTCGAGTGGAATGAAGTCTGCAGGGAAGCGCTGCGCGGTCCCCAACGCTGCCCCCACACCACCACCAAGAGAAGAGAGAGAAACGCTGCCAATTGCCCGTAGCGGTTCAACCGCAGAATTCAAAGACGCCGATCCCGCCACCACCACCCCAAGGCTTCTCCGGCCACTGCGCATGCCGAGCCCAGCTCTCCGCCGGAGCCAGCGCCCGCCCGCCCAGCAGCGAGACCCCACCGGCAGCCGTCGGCCGCAGATCAGGCAAGGGCCGGGCCCCGGGCGGAGGGTTCAGCCTTCAGCCCGGCTGGGAAACGCTCGGGACGCGGCCGCTGCTCCCGGCCTGTGTTTTAAGCGCGGAGCCCCGGCCTCCGCATCAGGAGACAGCTCACGCGCCGCTCGGCCCCGATGGCGGGGCCGCGCCCCATCCGTTAACGGCCGCCGTGGAGGTGCGCCACCTCGGGGAGCAAAGCGCGCCCCTGTCGGAGGGGAAGACGGAACGGTCACCCCGCACAGGGGCAGGGCGGTGCTTCCGCGCGGGGAGGGGCGAAAGGGAGAGGCGGGGCAGCAAAGGGGGGACAGGAGGGTGACACCGCCGCCGGCCGATTGGCTTCGCGGCGCCGGGAGGTGCGCTCCGTATTCCCAGCTCTCTTTCATAGGCCGGTGGCAGTAAATGGGGGCGGGCGGCTGCGGCCCGGCGCGCCCTCGTAGGCTACTTGGCTGTCCTGGGTGAGCCGTGGGCGCGCCAGGCGGTGCGATTGGCCGCTGGGCTGCGGGGGGGCCGGGTCCCGGCGGCAGCGGCCTCCCGGGGCTGGGGTCCGTCTCGGCGGCAGCAACGGAAGTCTCGCGAGGGAACGTAGCCGGGATTTGGCGGCTGGCTGCCTCCCTCTCGCTGGCTGCGAGGAGCTGGTGTTTGTGTGGAAGGGGGAGGAGGAGAAGAAGAAGAAGAAGAGAGAGGAGCCCGAGCCCCACCATCCGCTAAGGGGAGCGGACCGGAGTCCCCTCGCTGCCCGCGGAGCTCTCTCCCCCTCCTCGCCCCGCCATGGCCTCGGGAGACACCCTGTACATCGCCACGGATGGCTCGGAGATGCCGGCCGAGATCGTGGAGCTGCACGAGATCGAGGTGGAAACCATCCCGGTGGAGACCATCGAGACCACCGTGGTGGGCGGCGAGGAGGACGAGGAAGAGGAGGACGAGGACGAGTGCTGCGAGGAGTGTGGCCCGCACCACCCACCCCATCACTACCACCACCACCAGCCCATGATCGCGCTGCAGCCGCTAGTCTCGGACGGGGACCCTAGCGGGGCGGGCGGCGGTGCGGCCGGTGGCGGCGGGGGACAGCTTCATCTGCACCACCACCACCAGGAGGTGATCCTGGTGCAGACCCGTGAGGAGGTGGTTGGGGGAGATGACTCGGACGGACTGCGGGCCGACGACGGCTTCGAGGATCAGATCCTCATCCCCGTGCCGGCCCCCGCCGGGGAGGACGAGTACATCGAGCAGACCTTGGTCACCGTGGCCGCTGCCGGCAGCAAGAGCGGAGGCGGCGGCTCCTCCTCGGCCGGCGGAGGAGGCCGAGTTAAGAAGGGCGGCAGCGGCAAGAAAAGCAGCAAGAAGAGTTACCTGAGCGGGGGAGGCGGCGGCGGGGCCGAGGGCGGCGGCGGCAGGAAATGGGAGCAGAAGCAGGTGCAGATCAAGACCCTGGAGGGGGAGTTCTCGGTCACCATGTGGGCCTCGGGTAAGTGCGCGCCGGACCCCACCCTCCCCGGGTCCCGGGCCCCGCCGACGGCTGCCCGGTTCGCCTCGGACAGTTTTGTTTTGAAGGGAGGCCATGTTTTGATGTGTGTGATGGGCGCCGCCATGTTCATCGCCAGGGCAAGTATGGCGGCTCCCCGAAAAGATGGCGGGGTCTGCGCTGCTGCCGCCGCTACTCCTGCCCGGCTCCGGCGGGGGGAAGGAAAGATGGCGGCGGCCGCCAAGATGGCGGCTGAGAGGGGTGCGAGAGGGAGGGAGGCAGCGCGGCGCTGACTCCAGCACTAGGCCGCAATGGCGTAGTTTCTGCAGCAGGGGGAGGCGGGGTGTGCGGGCGGGCACAGGGTGCGGGGCGAATCCAGCCTCCTCGCTTCTCCCCCCGTCCCCGCCCTGCCGCCGCCGCTCCCCGCGGCGACCGGCCGTTCGCTCCACGCCTGCCCTTCGCCATTTCCTTCCCCGGCCGCCGCCCCCGGTGCCTCTCGGCGCCCTCTGTCCTCATTCTCTCCCGTCTCCCGACCCGCCGCTGCCGGCCCGCCTCCCTTCCCGCTCGCCGCACCTCTCCCTCCCTCCGCTCGGCGCTGGCGCTGCCCTCCCGCGGCCCCATTGGGCTACGTTTTAATGCCGAACGCGGTCGGGGGCCCCGGGTACGGCTTGTGCTCCGGGCCATGACCGTTATGTGCGGGGGAAAAGCCAGCCGCCCGCTGCAGCGCCGCCCGCCCCGCCGGCGCTCCCCGGCCCAGGGATGGCCATCTCCCCGAAATACCGTTTTACCGTCCGCACGGTGGGGTGGGCCTTGGGCCGCCCGTCCCGGCGGGCCGCTGCGGTAGCCAGGCGGGGTGTGGGTGGGGCCTCCCCGCTTGAGGCCAGCGGTGCTGGCGAGGGGGAAGCGCCTCTTCGCTCCCGCGGGGGCTGCCCGCGCCGCTCGCAGGCCGCGGAGGGGGGCGGCCACAAACCACCGGCCCTCCAGAGAGCTCCTTGTCATGAGCCGGGGTCTGACAGCCCGGGGAGGGGGGGCTCCGCTCTCTGGAGGCAGAGCTCAGGCCAGGGAGCTGCCGGGAGGAATGGATCAATTTCTGGCTGGTTCTCGGAGGCTGTTCAGCTTTCCTTCGGCTAGGTCTAGCACTTTAAATAGGCTTTTTAGGTAGGCTCAGGGCGTCTGCGTTTTGTGCGGTTGCGTATGGTTTTGAGGAGTTGGGTTTTTCGTGGGAGTGTGTCTTGGAATGAATAAAATTCTGTGAAGGTATTTAGCATCTGCGGGGCTTGGAATAAAACTAGCGTATGCCTGCCCTGCCACAATTTTCTGATCCTTTCCTTTAATGGTTTGGGGGGGGGGGGGAACCCTTCTAGTCAGTAGAAGTGTTACATTGGGGTTTTTGTTTAGATTGGGGATTTGGTGGTTTTGTTTTGGTGGCGGTTTTCTGGATTTCAGAAAATGTACTGCTGGCAGCTAGGCTCTGTAATCAGAGTTCTGTGCTGAGTTGTGTAAATGCACAAAAAAGCGGTCAAATAGTATCAGTTTATGCAACATATAAATGGGTGTGTAGTCTCTGAATAGTCGATTGGTAATCTATCTTGCATATTGTAAATTTTGTTCTCCTTTGAAACTGATCGAGTCTAGTAAGATAGGGATACTCTGTAAGATTCTAGTGTAGTCTAAAATGTTTGCTCTCTGTGGTGTTTGTGAATTACCAGTAGTTCTTACAAAGGGCAGCGTCAAAGGAAGACTATTGGATGGCTGAATTGACTTGTCTGAAAAGATGGATAGTATGGTGATTCTTATTTTACTCTCTTTAAATATAAGCAATTACTTAGCAAGTATGACAGTGTGTATAACAGTTCTGGTGTATAGTCAGTTGACATCCCAATGAGTCCTATCGATTCTTGATGAACAGAAAAGAACTTTTATTTAAGAGTTTCCAAAATACTATTTGAGAGTAGAATGGTGTTCTGTATGCTCCTGTGTATTTTTGTATGAAACCTGAATAAATCTACTTGGGTTTTTTTCTTAGAATTGACCATCCAAGAAAGGCGAAAAGATACAGAAACTAATACAGTCTTCTGGTTTGTGGAAGCTGCCTAAGATAGCAGCATGCAAGTGGATGTATGACTCATGAGCTGGCAGGATACAGGACCTCGCTGAGATGAATTGACAAATTCTAGCATACATTTGCACTCTGAATTTCAGAGTGCCTGATAGGATGCTTCCTTAGAGCTCCTGCGTGCTAATTATTACTTGAGTGAAGTGAAGCATGTGTGTAATCAATACACTTGATTCTCTTCCCACATACACAACTTTTACAGCAGGGCAGCCCTATTGATTTCAGTGGTTTTGTTCTTTATGAGCCTAACTGTGCAAGCTCAGTGGGGAGCAGTACCCACTTGTAATTTACTGGGGGTTGAATTGCATTGCTACATTCATGTCAATATCCATGATACAGAATACCTATTCTGACTTGACTTCTAATGCCCCAAAAGTACCCTCCCAGGAAAAAAAAAAAGGGGTGGGGGTGTGCAAACCCACAAAATACATAGGTGAAAGAAAAGTACTGAAGTTTGACCTCCCCTTTCTGCATGTATGTGTGCTTCCTCATGCAACTTATTGAATGGGCTTGAAGTGGTCAAATGCTGAGGCTTTGTTGTCTGTTCTCTGAAATTTAAGAGGGGGAATGGTTGCCAGAAAAATTCCAAAAGAAGCAAAACTGGGGGGGGGGGGGGGGGCACGGAGGAGAGGGCATGATGACCCAGAACAAGCCACTGACTTGCGGAAGGGTAGTTGCATTAAAGTTCCCCTGCAGAACTGGACATACTTCATTTTGAACAAAGATAGTGGTTTTGCCTCTATATTTTGACATAATTAAAGACCTGCTTGAAGACTTGCTTGTACACAGATGTAATTGACTGGTTTAAATGCTTAGCAAAAAGTTTTTCAAAAGATGGCTTTGCATCAAGATAAAACAATGAGCCCTATATTGCTGTGCATGGGTATTTGAATTTGGAACAAGGACACTTGGCTCACTACTGTGTGGGAAGACAATATGAATTAATTTCTTGTTACTGTTTTCTAGTGCAGCAATATTGGCTTGTACACGAGTGGTACCAAATTTAGCCAGTCATAAATCTCTTTCCCTAAATGAGTATAACATGTTTGGTAGCACCTCTTGAAATGTGTAGAAATAATTTGTGAAATATACATCAGTGTGATTAAAGGGGACTACTCAGTCCTTGTCTTGTTACTTGGATACTTAGAAGTTGCAGTAGTGTTGTTGGCAGTGGTTTAGACTTGCCGTAACTTCTCTTATCACCTTGGTATCTATGGTGATATCAAACTTGTGACCTGCGATTACTTTAACGCGTTTAGCTTGAAACAGGAATGCTTTGTTCTAGTTCAGATTAGCTTTCTAGATCTTCAGAATGGAATTATTTGTCTGTTTTCACATGTGAAAATAGGAACTGAACAAAGGCATTCTATTTTCTGAAAGGGTTCAAGAGGTGTATATGATGGATACTTTAATCATGCTCCTGTAGTGTGTTTCCACTGTACTGTCTCATTACTTTCATTTGGGTATCCTGTAATAGATTTAGAAAATTGTATACAGTTAATGGGGCTCTCCAGGTACAGAGACCAATTTGTACCAGGAAAATTGTTTTTATTAAGTGGAATATATTTGTGTCTTTGCTAGATTCAACTTAATCATTGTCTTCAGTGACTGTCAGCAGGTTGGGTACACAATAGTGATGAGAGAGGGGAAGGTTCCTTAGCAACTTTGTTAGATTGTGCTTGCAAAACTGATTCTTGGATGCGGGATGGCTTGGAAGGGTGGTGCTGAAATGCTGCCTCTACCAAATACTGGAATTTCAAGCAGTTGGGGCTTATTTTTGCAGGGGGGGAAATGTATTAGTGTACATCTACTTCTAGGTAATGACTCTCGACTCTGTCAAGCTTTCAAACCTAAAATAGGTGTTAGCTTAAACTATTATTGTTAGCATAAATAATCTGCAAGGTCAGGGCTGAAATAGCACAACCAAACTAAACATTGCCCACAGATGTTAAACTGCTCAAGTATCCTATTCCTAGATGGGAAAGACAAAGTTTTTCCTAGACGGCAAAGACAAAGTGTATGGTTTGGAAATGATTTTTGATAATTCAGGAAGCCATTGCTGCGGACCCATATTTGAAAACTCAGGCAGTTCATGTTGGGTTTCTAGAAGGCTCTTCAGAGCATCTTAAAAAAAACTTTTTAATGTCTTAAATTAAAAGCCTTCGATTTTTATTTATTTATTTTTTTTTTCTTTTATCAGGTTGCAGGGGTGTGAAAGATAATCATCTACTGTCTGACTAGTCGTTTTACATAGTATAAATAATAGACGAGTCAGTTCTGTTGTGGGCCTGTGTCAAAGATAGCCAAAAGTCTTTGTGATGACAGATAGGCAATCAACTTCTTGTATGAATTTTTTTCATAATGCAGGCAGAAAGTGATTGTCTGGTTCCTTTAAAATGTTAAGATGATAATTATTTCTGAGTAAGACAGTAATATAGGCTTTTGGTATCCATAAGCATTGAGTCTGCGCTGACGTTTTTGCCAGTGAACCTTAGAGTGTGGTAGATATTTTCCTGCAGCTGTTTTACATATATTTTTAGATTTGAAAGTGGTCTATGGATGTGGTTCATTACTTAAAATATCTGTTAAGTTGCCTCTCACCTTCAAACTAGAGTCCTCTAAGTTGCTGTTGGATCCTTCCGTGAGAGGTCCATGTCACTTTTATGTTGATGATTCAGAAGGTCATAGTACTTCAGCACAGTGTCTCACAAGTGTTGAAGTCAGTTGATGACTATTGATGTATGCAGTGTTTTTGTCAGTTCATGTCTCGGTGATGTGAAATAAGAGATGGGTGACATGGGGAAAGAAGAACCTGTTCTCCATCTGTGTGTGCAAGGCACATCAGAGAGAAAGTAGCCTAACAGCTGATTAGGATAAAAATTGACATATTATGCAAAATGGAATTTTGACATTCAGAAGTTTCTGCTAAATAACTGTCTTATTTAACAAGCTAATTATGGTCTTTTGCTTCCAAACGTGACCAATGAACTAATTTGCCTGAGGAGACTGCAGTGTGGTAGCAGAAACGAAGCTGTTACCACAGTGCCTTGTTATTGCGCTGTTGCTGAATACATCTTTTATCATGTAATTGCATTTCAACTGTTCCTAAAAACAAATGTGCTTAACCATGTGATCGTGAAATGAAAATTTAAGCTGAAATGTCTTTCATCCTTTAGTGGGTAAGCAGAATGTCTCTTAACTTGGTACCTTGCAGAGAAAGCTGTAAGATTAGGTTTCATTGCTTTGCTTCCAAGTACGCCTTCTGAATTCCTTTCTGCCCTCCTTATTTTCCATAGAGAAAGATTGATTGAATAACAGTGTGTTCTCCCTGCTCTGTAATAGAGGAGGAGGAGGAGGGTGGCTTGGAGAATTGGAGATCTGAAAGTGAAGTACCATGCCTGAAATCAAGAATAACTGACAGGGCTTCTTGAGAGTTAAAGGGGTCATCTTACAAAGTTGGGGAGTTCCAGAGATGTCATCTGGAGCTAGCTACTATTCTAGAAATGTGTGAAATAATGGTTCTGAAGTGGATGGGTTTTCTGTGCAACAGAAGGATTGCAAGAGATTCAGAAAGCATGGTAATAAGAGCAAAAGGTAATAAAGTCTTTGGAAACAGTGTCTGCCATCTTTTGTCATTGATCTGTTGCATGGAATCTGCAGTTACCATCTACAAGTTATTTTTATCCAGTAGTCTGGCTTCTTCCTACTTCAGTTGGTACTTGGGCTTGATACTCTTGAAACTTCTGGTTATTTCACCACTAGGAATCTGTTCTAAGTATTAATCAAAAGATATGGCTGGCTAAAATGCTAAACTTTCACTGGTCTTAGGGGGAAAAAAACCAAACCAAACCCAACCAGACATGCATGTTTGCTTATCTTGCATGCTTGCTTTGAAGTGCTGAAGTGATTCCAGTTCAAGTTGTGTATACAGGGCATGAGAGAGGTGGGGATGGAAGGACGTTGAGCATGAAGATTTGTTTGAATATGTCGTAAAAAGGTACATAGACCAACCCAATTTAGACTAAATACCTAATGTGGTTGGGCATGAAAAGGTGTTGGGGTTATCTGTGGTGTCTCTAAGAAATTAGTATTTCACAGCTTTGTAAGATAGGTGAATATTGGACATAGCTATTGCAGTGACTGGTACTGCATGTTTTTTGTGAAGACAAAGTGATTAACTGACTGACATGCATTCAAATCTTCCGTATCTTTCAAAAGACTGGACTAAAAATGTACTCCCAGGTCCCTCACAGTAGGCTGCATTAGAACTCTCAGAATAGTGCTAAATACACATTTAAGCAGCATGCCTTATATTTGAGTCTGCTATACTCTCAATTATTTTTAAGGAGCAAGACAAAGAAGGTCAGATAGTATGTAACAGTTAATACCCGTTTACTGACTGCCTCCATGGCTCTGTCTGTATTTAGCTTGCATGGGTGGCATCCAGATTAATTTGGCATGGTCATAAACTGCAGAGAGGAGCTGTGCCTTGTTTTGTACTTCCCAGAGGTGTCACTAGAATTTCAGGGTTGTGTCTCTGTGTTTTGCTTTGCAGTATGTTTGATCCTCTGTTTCACGAGAGGAAAAAAGGAAAGTAATTTGGTTGTATTGAGCATCAGGGCTTGTTTGAAGGCAGAAAACATCAAGCAATCAGCTTGCTCTGTTTGCGATGAGAATATTGGTTAACTTGTCAGCCTGAGTGAAAGTTGCTTGGACTTTACTCTCCAAACTTTGAGCTGCCTATTGCAGGTTGGTAGGGGATCACAAATGAACTTGCGATAAATTTGTGCATAGAGGACATTGATAGAATTCTTCCAAAAGTTTTCCAAAGAAGTGTGTGTGTGGGTTTGGGTTTTTTTGTTTGTTTTTACAATGAGTTCATAGTGTTGTAGGATGGTCTGTAACTAGGATGGTCTGTAACTAGGATGGTCTGGATACTAACCAGCTGCTGAAGTCTGCTGCAACTTTAGAAAAAGTATTTGACTTTTGGTGTGAGTCAGGCCCTTCTATCTTGAAGGATGTTACCCTGGCATAACACTTTAAGGTTACTGGTATGTTGTTTTGGTTTAAATTAATTTTTAAAACTGCTGTTATGTGCTGCCATAGAGATAGAGGTTTTTGATATAGGAAAATTTGCTTGTTTCTTGTTCTTACATAATTATCAATATATGAAGTGATACTTTCTTATTTTCTACTGTATTAATGTATTCATAATTTTTCATGTTTTAGTTCAGTAGCCCATGGAATTGAATAGCTGTGAAATTGATTTCTGTGGGTGGGCTTTTTGCAAGTGAAGGCACTAAAGGCTGCCTTTGTTTCAGTTTTGCCCTCACATAGGAAGAAAACATTGTGGAATAGTGAGTCTTTACACCATGGAAGAAAAGATCTTGAGGAATGTATACGAAATTTCCCTGTTGACTCAGTGTATCTGATCTGAGGGAGGAAATGAAAACTTGTTTCTGTTACAAATGTCAGTCAAACTGGAAGTTCTGTGGACCTGTTGAAATGGCAGCATTGAAGGCAGCTGATCTCATTCTAGTCTGGTGCATGGCAAAGGTGTCACTTTTAGCTTTCCAGAAGTTTTGTGCTCTTCTGAGTTTCATAATGTCTTTTCTGCCTGCAGAGGCACTGCCAAGTATCTTTTCTAAGGCTTCTGTTTGGAACAAAACATTGTTGCCAAATTGGAGATTTATTGACTTGAATTTGTAACTCCTGCAGATGCTCTTAAATTTACCATATAATCTTTGCTTAAGGTAAATTCAGTTGCTTTCTTTAAAGCTCTGGTAAAGAGTGTCAGGTAGTGTGGTGAGTAGAAGGCTAGATTAAAATTTAAAAAATGTCCAAATAGTCAGTTTTGTAGTTTGTTTTCAGTTTAATGCTGCAGACAGTATTTTATTAGGAACATTTCTGTCTTGTGTCAGTGTTGCAGTCTATTTTCTTCTTTCACCATGGAACATATACTTGAACTGCTATTTGATCTGGTAGATCAGATTAAACCCCAAACTGGCAGTAGCATTTCTAGAAATAGCTCGGTGGCAAACATAAAAGGCAGGCATTACAAATTGAGTAGAAATTTGTCCTTAGTATATAGCTTTTATTTGCATATGTCTTGACTTTTCCTTCCTACAGTAAGTTACTGAGTAATGAATAATGTTACTTCCTGTGGAAGAAAACAGAAAGAAAAATGTTGCTTCATTTGTTTTCTGCCTTAAGTTTTGGTGTTTATTTATTTATTTTTTAATTGGGGGAGTATTATTTCTGTCCTACTACCTTGTATTTCAATTCCTTAAACACTACTCATAAAAAAAACTTCCCATAATTTTTTTAAAGCCTCTTGTGTATAAAGTGATTTGCAGAATCTGCTTCCCATACACAGGTTGTAAGAAGTAGTGTAGTGGCAAGTTTACTAATTTTTTAGCTGAGTAGTTAAAACCATGTGTATATACGTATGTTTATTGTCTTAGGTGTATTTGAGGGTGTAAACCAGGGTAGATCCCATATCTGTCTTCCTTCTGGTATGAGTATTGCAGTGAGGAGCATAGCTGGATATTTCCATTCTTTCCATTCTCTGTCTTCTTTGTGCGTCTCTGGTTTCTGATACAAAATGGCAAGATGAAAGAGGAAAACATTGTATCTTGGTATATTCTAAGGTCTGGATGTGAGTAGCCGCTAACAGCAGGTCTTCCACGTGATCTTACTACAGTCCTTCAGCACAAATCCATAGGAGGAGCTCTAGAGCAGATACAGTAGCACTTAAATGGTTTGCAGATCAAAGCTCTGAATAATCTGTCTGCTGTTTATATAATAAAGTGGAAAAGATCTTAGACTGGCCTCTGCCACAGAAGAAAGAAGCCCCCTTGGGAGAGAGATGTACCGTTTAGATTTTTGGTTACTTTCAGACCTGTCTTCAGGAGTTGGAAAACTTCAGTTTTATGGGCAGGTGCTGAAATCCATTAGCATTTACTTTTAAATTTCTTGTCCCTCTGTGATACTTCTGTTGGAGGTCAGTGGAGTCTGAAGGCTCTGAAGTAAAAATCGGTAATCCTGACATCACAGGGTAAGTATCTGCCACTCTTCTGATAAGCTTGCTTAGTTACTGACTGCTGTTGAGATCCAAAGTGGGTATGGTGAACGCTAGTCTTTAAGAGGTTAAGGGAATTAAATATTTAGGATATGTTTTAGGAAAAGTGCCTTATCTTTTAAACACAGCCAACATTCATAGGATTGTTATACTTATTTGTGTTTAGCTAGATATGCAACTTTTGCTTCTCTTTTTTTTCTCACCGTGTTCTTCCTGTGTTCTTCATTCTGTAACTATATGGATGTGTTTTTGCTCTTTGCAATTGGCATGGAAGTCTGCAAGTGCAGTGTATTCTTTTAAGTGTGCAGCCGTGGGAAATTTCTGTTGAGATATAGCCTAATAGTTTATATGCTGTTTTGATCTTTAGTATGTATTGAATTTGGTATTTTGTGTGTTTCAGATGATAAAAAAGATATTGACCATGAAACAGTGGTGGAAGAGCAGATCATTGGAGAGAATTCTCCTCCAGATTACTCAGAGTACATGACAGGGAAGAAACTTCCTCCTGGTGGAATACCTGGCATTGACCTCTCCGACCCCAAACAACTGGCTGAATTTGCTAGGTAAGTAGGAAGAAAGTATCCTTAAAATGGTTTTCTTTTTCCTGGTTTAATGATGAAACTGTTAGCCAAAATAAATGGTAGTTTTAGTATGGCTTAATGTTCCATTTAATCATTTTTTAAAACAAGTGACTTAATTCAGAGCAGAGTAGCTGATACTGTGTTAAAGCAACTGGGTTTTATATTCACTTGTTCAATGACTTCTGGTCTCTAGTTTCTCTTGGGTAAGACGGGATCTAAATACATTGATAGACTGCATCTTTGACATGAGAGAATGTAGCTGTCATGTGAGTATCCTTAAATTCTTCAGCATCAAAAGATCTAGAAATCTAGAGTACACTATCACTCGTTTACATATCAGTACCTTGACCCGAGTTACAAGGTTACTTTCCTTTTCAAATAGAGGTGGAGTGGTTGAAGCTCTGTTCTACAGGAAGTACTGAGTCATGTGTCTCTTCCCCCCTCCCTCTTCAGAGCCTTTGGCTGTGGTACTGAGTGCTCAGGGCAACTGGGGTCCATCGGAGGGCAACCGCGAGGTCACCAGGGAAGCCTGATCTGGCACCTGGGAACTGTGATATTAGAGTTGTCTTTGCAGCCTTTATTTGGTTTCCTACTTTGTGTGCATATGCTTGTAATTACCAAAGGCATTCTCCTCCACTCAGTGCATGGGCAGTGTTAGTCTGGTGTCTCTAAATATTTGAGCACCACTGTTAGCTTTCTGCAGCTGCTGTTACCAGTTTTTTCCCCATGTTGAGAGCCAGTAGTATGTACTCATTTACCAGCTGGCTGTTTTTCAGGGCTCTGGTGCACAATTCTGACAGAACAGATGGATGGTTGGATGTTGTTACTTTTATTTCCTGGGTTAGCTAATAGAGCAAGAAGTATGTGTGGTGGGTTTTTTGTTTGTTTGTTTTAGTGGTTTTTTGTTTTCTTTACCACTGGGTTTTTCAGGTAGTTACTAAATGGCAGGACCTATTGAAGCAAGTTCTGGTCTAGCTACTTGGGTAGGTGGATCTCGGTGTCTCCTGTGTGCATCTACTGTTGTTTCACCTTTTTAATCTTGTTGCTTTATACAAGCTTTCTCTGTTACTCTTAGGTGTCTTTCTGCTGGAGGATTACCAACACAGCCTTGTCTCACAATTGTTTTCAGTAAAGTCATTGAACTATGCATTTTGAAGACTCATAGTAAGATAGTTTTGCAGGACTTGCTCCCTGCTTCAGGTTATCTGATCTGGAAATGTGTCAAAACACATTACTAACAGCTGAAAATGGGGTTCTGTCTAAAGTGCTTGGTGGTTCTAGCTGTTGATACTGTTACTTGTTTTACTGTTGTGATAAAAATGATTGTGTTTTCTTCTGAGACCTGCTGAAAGCTCAATAACTTTTTTAGTGATACTCTATAAGTATCATTGAAAGTATACTCTATATATACTCTCTATATAAAAGTATTATATATACTCTACCACTAACAGTACCCAGCATTCTGATTCTGCTCATTGTGTTTAGAATGGTATTGTTATTTTAAAACATGCTGAAACCTCCGCTTCTATTAAATGTTTAAGTACTGAATAGCTGTCTTTTGTTAAGGAAGTTTAAATATTTTCTCATAGGGTATTCTCCATGCAAATACTGAATATTTTTTTTCCAGATTGCTCTGAGTACTTGAAAAGGTTGCCAGGATATGGGCTTCTCAAAATGATCAGATTGCTTCTGTTAGATCTGTCTGCATATTTCTTGATGTTGTAAAATGTACTGCATCTCTGGGTTTTAGTTAGTTTTTTGTTGAGAAAATAGTGGCAGCTGGCAGTAATTTAAAATTACCACTTTTTATTCATGGTAGAATGTTCTAGGAAGTTCTAGAGCTAGAATTTTTAGCAGATGATGTAAAGATTGAGTTCTATGTGTACAGTCAATTTTCTATTAATATATTTCTGTACAGCAGATAAAATGCAAACCCCTTCAGTCATAAGACAAATATATGGTGGTAGAGTAAGCAACTGGGGGGATATCACATTTAGCAATATCCCCAAATTGCTCAAACCTGTGAAGAATTGTTCTGATATCTTAATTGTAGATAATGTAGAAACTTCAAGAATCTTGTAAGAAAGTTGGGTTTTGGTTTTTGGGTTAGGTTTTGTTCTTTTGTTTATTTATTTACTTACTTATTTATTCCTTGCTCAGAATCAAATTTTCTGAGGCCAGAGTAAAAGAGAGAAGAAAAAGAAAACTGTTAGATTATGTTAAATGATTGTGTATAGCTGAGGCTGAAGAATATGGGTATATTAGAATTTGATTATCGCTTGTTAAGATTTTGGTCCTCTTGCAGTGAAGCATGTTAAAGGGACTCCTTTTAGCTAATAACATTAGTTCAAGCACTGTTGCCTATAAACCTTTTTTTTATACTGATCAGTTGTCTTGTTGATCTAGGTTGCTCTGTGCAGCATCACTGCATGGCAAACAAAAAAAATTGGTTTATGTGTACAGAAATTGGGTTTGGAGGTCCTAGAATATTTTATGCTTAAAGAATATGTTTATTTAGTGTAAAGTTCTCTGAAAGTTTCAAGCATTGCTGGTTGTTTTACAGTTCACAGTTTTGAAATTCTCAGTAGCTGTATTCAGAAAACTTTGAGCAGCATGTGAATTGAAACTTACTTTTAAACTTAAGTAGCTTCATGTGCTGTAGTGTTTTTGAATAATAGATTTGTATTTTTGTGACTTGAAAAAAGAATTGTGCACAGCCTGTGTATAAGGAAGCATGAACTGGCTAGTAAAACTGTATACTCAGTGTATTTTGTGCAGTTGAGAGCAAGTTGTTTTGGTCTGCTTTCTTGTTTCCATGAAGGTTCTTGGAAGAATTTCACTATGTATTTGTAGAAATTAGCTACTCAAAACAAAACTAGATTCACTGTTTATAACTAGACAGCTTATTTTGATTAAGATACATTGGCATCAATTATTAGGAACAAAGTTCTGAGGTTAAATTTAAATGGGCAAAGCTTGAATTCTAGTGGTAATAGATTTCAAGCAAGGTTTTGGTTAGTGAAAAATAAGGCAGGGTGGACTTGATGCTTGAAGTCCTGTAGCTCTGCAGCCCTAAAAATAAGTAAACAAATATATATATATATATAAATATAAAATCATTAAGATTTAAAAACTATAGTAATTCAGCATCTGCAGTGGACTCCTGCTGCTCAGCAACTGGGTGGCACTAGCAGAGTGAGCAGTTATACTATCTCTTGTGATACCGTTTGCTTTCACTGCTTTCTTTTAGTGCATTTGTCATTGAGTCATGTAGGAGGAATCCAGGTCCTTTAACTGGAACTCCTATAGCCTTTCCTGGAAAAGGCTTTATACATTTTAAAACTATTGAAAATACTGAATAAACAAGCTTTGTCAGAACATTAAGATGTGTTCAGTAACACATTGAATGACCATAAATTATACCTCATTGGGCAATTTATTGCCCTTTACAAATTATTTTGTTCTGTTGCAGGACTCATGCATTTTCTTTCATATGCTTTAAAATGCAGTAAAAAAGTGTATTTCTCTTAGGTAGTCATATCAGAATGTGAAACATTAGTTGTGAATGATCTGCTCAGAAAGAAATAAAACCTAATAAATTACCACATTCCCATTTGATACCTTAGACTTGAACACTGGAAATCCCTTCAAGTGAAGTAAAATGGTTTATCCAAGTCTTAACTGATTACAAGTAATTCCGTAGTTAGCTGTAAGGAAGTCGTAACTGCTTGGTAATAAAAGCTTGGGGAAGTAGCACACATATATCTAGTTGGTGCATATGGCAAATTCCTTCTTAACAAAGCCACTAAAAAGGCTATTCCTGACTGTCCGCTTCCTCCCTCTTACCCTCCAGACAGATGCATGACTTGAACTGGCTAAAGATGGCAAAATACAGGCATCAGTAAAATAAAATAAATAAATAAAAAAGAGGGGAATATGCTAGAGCTGGAAAATTGGCACAGTAATGGATCCTAGTGGTAAAAACTTCACTGTCCTTGGCTTTATCTTCTGCTCCTCTTAGTACCTTTTCAGACTGAGAGCCATTGTGAGAACTGCCTTTTCTTTCTCTCTGCTTAACAAAACAGAAAACAAAAGGAGTGTTTGAAATAAGATGCCCTTCTTAAAAGTGGCAAAACATTCTGGTCTCCTAGATTTACAACTTGGGCCTCTTTACAAGTTGTGCACTTTTGTATTGGTTTTGTTCTTATTACAGAGATGCTTAAAGGGCAGTAAACTGATGCTTTAGCCAAAGTGTTCTTTCAGGGGAGGGCAAATCTCTTGCTATGTGTACATGTGATATTCTTCACAACAAAGCCAGTAATTATTTTTGCCAGAATCTTAGACTGAAAGAGAACTTTTTATGACATTTTCTACCTGTCTGTAGCATAGTAACTCACTAGATGTGTGTACTTTGGTTGTAGGTAGATTCCTAGAACACCTTGCAGCACTCCCCCTTTGTCTATTTATGCAAATGCCAGTCTAGCCAGTTTCAGGAGTTCTTCAGCACAAATAAATTCTTGCAGCAGCGCAGGGCCATGATCATTTTATTTCCGCCTCAGCAGGGCGGTACAAGGGGAATGGCAGAGTGGGGGAACAGATCAGAAGCAGCAGTGATGCTGCTGATAGGGAATGATTTCCTCCTCTTAACTATTCTTATGAATGGTCATCGGCCCAGGTGAATATCACTGTTTGTCATCGGGGACCCCTAGGATGTGTCAAAGGAGTTGCCTGAGAGAGAGTAATGCTCTTTAGGTTAGATTTATGTATAAAGGGAGAAGAAAGGATGTGAGAACACAGAATTTTACCAGAGATAAAAAAGGAAGATGGTAGAACAAGGAGGAAATTCTATACTGCTACTGTTTTTTTGACTTGGGGATTTCCTCTATTCCTAGCCTTAACATTGTTGTAACTGTTAAAATTGGATCTGTCTGTAAAACAATAGGTTGTGGAGATTGACAGAAGTTTGAGGTAGGGATTGGTTATGTCAAGGGTACAGTTCTTTCAGTTCAGCTGGGAAGATGAAAAGAGGTAGGTAACTGTTACTTTCTGATATTGCACTGTGACAGAGTTGCTTTCTCTGTTTTAAGGAGCTGAGTGTTTTAATACCTGTGATTATATTTTATTTTTTTTTTTACTCAAATCGTTATGCATGGATAAGAGGGTGTGCTTTTTTTTTGGAATTCATTCTGTGAAGCTGTTGGGTTGCACACCTTCCTACTCCCTCTGCTGCCCCCCATTCCCTCTCTCCATCTCCCCAATACAAGTTAACCAACCTGGCCTTTAATTGCAGTGTCCCAGTGCCTTGACCCGAAAGGTTAGCTATTCTGCAGTTGCTGCTACTAGGCATGGCCCATATAAACTAATTGCAGAAATGAAAATTCTGGTCTTGCCATGTAAATTGACTTTCTGCAAAGGCAGCCATTTCAGAAGTTCCACCCAGGTATTAATGTGTGTGTCTGTAGTCGTTTTAAATAGTGGTATGTGTTAGAGTTCTGTTTTTGATTAATGTTTCAGGCTAAGAAAACTTGGACGGAGCTGGTAGAGATGCTCTACTGGGTGGGAGCCAAAAGTCTAACCACCAGCAAGAGCTACCTGCAACAGTGTAATTAAGATCAACTGCCCAGGTTCTAATCTGGTCTCCTTTTGCAGAAAGTTAATTTTAAAGTAAGACCAAAATCTTTTATTCTAATGCATTTGAATATGTAAGTCTTTAAATCCTGCTTTGGGTGATTGTCCATATGGATTCCACAGCCTTGTGAGCAGGATGATGTTTTTGGCAAAATGATCTGTTGTAGCTGTGCCTGTGGTGTACATGCCCTTGTGCCTTTGCTCCAAGGGTCCAGCAGCTTCTTCCTGCATGTGGCACTGAGATGTAACCAGGATATTGTTTGCCACCTCTTCCTGTTGAAATGCCTGCTTCTGTTTTACTGAGTAGCTTGGTTGCCTATGGAATACATAGTCTTGTTTTGCCTTTTAAGCTTAAGTTTCCCACTTCCCATACTTGAGGGAGAAATGAAAAGATTTTAAATCTGCCCCTTTATTAACTAAACTTTGTTGTCATTTTGTAGTCAGTAGGGTTAAATGTTTCTATCCAGGTATACTTCTGGGCTGATACTCCTCATTTGAGAAACAAAGCTTGAAAATTAAAAAGTCAGCTTATTCCAGAATGTACACTTACAATTCTATGTGCCTGCTCAGGCACTGAACTGAAAAGTGTATGTTGAAACTCCAGTCTGTCCCATGTCTGGCCCTCCAGTTCAGCTGTGATTGATTCCTCAAGCTTCCTGACTACACTGAACTGGAAGCTTCCTGACTACACTGGCCAGGGTATTTTACCTCTCAGTCTACTTTGACAGCCTGTTACAGATAACACTTTCTCAAAGACTGTCTTAATAACAGGGGCAAGACACACAAGAGTTATCAGTAACACTTAATATGATCATTGGGATCTTATGCCAAGTGTAAAAAATGTAGGCGCTGCCCACTAAAGCTGTTGACCACATCTTTTGTTAGTGATTCCTTTTCTGTCTATTCTCTCCTTTTACAGGTGGTCATTTAGGACTTCAGAACAATAGTGGTTTTATTCATTATGATGATGTCACAACACAGATTTTAGGCCTAGGAATTTTTATCTTTGCTTTTTTGGGGCTGAGGGAATGACTCAGCCAACACTTAACAAGTTGATAGGGTTGGAAGTAAAGGAGGTGGTTTTGGCACCAGTTTTGCTCCCTAAGGGTGTTTGTTCTCTAACAAGGCACTAAGTTCTTTCAGGTCCCATCTTGTCAAGGCATTCTTCTATGTGCCCATTTTGGTATAACAGGCACTCATGTCTATGCCTTTTCCTTTTGTAAAAAGCATAAAGACATAATAAGGAGAATCCTGTGCAAAAGGGTACTTGGAAGCTTTCTGTAGGGGTACTGAAAGAAAGCCTTTGTGTGTGTGTTTTTCTATAGCATCAGTGCCTGTAGTACTATCAGTCTAGAATCTCACTGGAGAATGTAGCCAATCAGTTAATCCCAATCACTTTTTTCGATTTAGGTATTTGATACTTAGAGAGGTCGGGTAAACTAAACACAGGACAATCATGCTCTGTTGCAACTGGATTCTATGATTCTATAAATTAGATCTAATCAATAAGTCCATCTGAGTTGAAAAGTTATGAAGGAGATTTAATAAAGAGGCTGGTTTACAGGAACAGATACAGCTTCCGGAGTTCAGGATTTTTCTGCCCTTAAATTGACAAAATGTTTAGTTATGCTGCTGGCAATGGCACAAGAGGAGCTTTTTCAACACAAATATTTCGTACCTGTCTTTTGGAGCTGTTAGTATCTGAGGATAAAGGAATTGTTGGATGTGATTCCAGTTTCTTTATTTTTGTAACATTTGTATTTTTAACCCTGCAGGAGGCTGCAGTATTCTTTAGTTAGCACTGTATATATTCAATGTAATCTGGAGGTGCTGAGCCAACAGGAGTTTCCTAAGCATCCACTTAGAGAAAAGAACAAAAGCCACTTATTTCTGTTTCATTTCAAGTAGAGACTACACCAGAAAACTTTTTGTTTAACTTACAAATAGCCATTTGTAGTTACCTTGTCATACATAACTATGTTGTACCAGGAGAAGTGATTCAGGAACTCAGATAAACAGACTAGCTTCTACAGCAAGGTGTTGGAATGCACAAAATCTCATTACTTACTGAAGTGAATCTCCAGCTGTATGAGGTGCGTTTATTTACACCTACTTGCCTCTATTATAAGGTGGATATAATCCACTTCTTTTTCAGTTTTGTTTTTTTTTTTGAAAACAGCACTTCTGAGAAATAAAAATAGGTAAAAGTGCAGTGCACTTCCCTGGAATAGTGTCAGAGAAGTCAGCTGTATGGACATTCAGACAGATGCCTATGGCACGACTGTTCTAACGTTGTTTTCTGAGTATTATATTTGAAACAAACATATGATATATTCAAGCAGTAGTTGGCTTTTCTGCTTATGTAGTTGGTGAAGACTAATGACACCCATAAAGTAGTGGTGAAGATCCCTATCAGCAACCAAGAATAAATAGATGATTGTTTGTCAGTTGCCAGCAGTGGAATCCATGTGTACAGTAACTTAAAGTAAAAATAACTGCATTTTCTGTGGTTATGATGGATGTCTACATTGTCTGTGTAGAATCCACAACTTGCCTGCCTTCCCTGCTTCTGTACTGTTTTCTTCTGAAGTCTTGTGTGGTGAAATACTGAAAAAATGATTGAGGCTACTCTGCTCTTCATATCCTGGTGAGAGAAAGTGAAGATAAATAGGCTATGTGGGTACTAGCACAAGAAATCTATAGAGTTTTCAGAAAAAACCAACCCTATTTACAATTAGTCTAAGAAAAAAACTCAACTCTGTTTCTACATATTCAAAGACTAAGAAGGTAGTATTAAATGTCTTCTTCTGTATTTCTGAGGTCCTTCTGGAAAAGCTGAAATTTCTGAATGCCAAATTACACTATTAATTTTATTATGAAGGTTTTGAAAATACTAAGCTGAGTAACTGATGCATGTAATGCTATCAAATAAATGTGTGCATTATCTAGGCCATTATGTGAAAAGAGCTGTCTACTAATTTTTCTACTAATGTGGTGTTGTTTTTGTTTTTTTGTTTTTAATCTTTAAGAATGAAACCAAGAAAAATTAAAGAAGATGATGCTCCACGAACGATAGCATGTCCTCACAAAGTAAGTGCAGGCTCAGCTTCTGACTAGGTAGTAATTTTTAGACCAGAATTTTCTATTGGTGTTTTCTCTTGAGAATGAATAACTGAAATATATTACTGTTAATAGACTACACTCTGTTAACTGTATTTTAGTTATAATTCTTTAGAGGCTGCTTTAAAAACCTTTCACTGAATAATATATTATTCCCATTCCTTGTCTTAAGGTTAGTGCATCCCTAATCTTCTGGTAACCATGATGCACAGTCCCTAACATGCTGGTTTTACTGTTGTGATTTCCTGCCACCCAAGAATACATACTTGAAAGAATATTCTGAAAGCTGTTCAAAGTACGTTCCTAAGATCTATATATCCTCTGCTTGGAAACTATGACAGATTTGGAGTCTAGATCAGGAATCAGCAATTTATGATGCAGATGCCAAAGTCAGCATTATTGGAAGACTTTGAATTATATTCCAGAGGTGGAAGGTGCATCATCTTGAAAGACGGAGAGAGGCATCCTGGAGATAACGATTCTGACCCACTGGTAGTGGGGAAGCCTCTATCTTGAGTAAATGTTCCCAGTCACCTAGACTGGTAGCATCTTGCTTTACTGCATTATCCAGCTTTTGTAGAGCTTCTGTTAGCTGACTTAGTCTGTAATGAAAAAAGGCAAATACAATTTTGCTGACTTCTGGTCCAGATAAGTGATGAGCCTAACCAGATAATCAGGGCAGATAACTAATAGTACACATTAGAGAGCATGAATAGAAGACTGCTTTCTCACAGCCGTAGTCCAAGGAATCTGGTGGATTCCTCTTTGTGCTTACATTTATTTCAACTTCTTTATGTTCTACAAATACCATGTATTTATGTAGTATATTATGTGGAGATACAGGAGCAGTTACTCCTTACAATACTAAGGAATGCTGCCTTAATTTCTTTGATTTACTTTTTCATAGTGTCAACTTATCTGAACAGGGATTAACAAAAAAAAAGAATATTCTGTCCTTCCATTTTCTCTTTTCTAGTGTTTCTAGGCTTTGTGCATTTATTACTTCAATTTAAAAAAAAAAAATACTGTAGAAGATGTAACTGCTTCTCTCGGAGGCAAGGAGGGGCTTTGAAATAAATGCAGGAAACTTGATGGTGTATTTATTTTGGTGCTGCTTTGCCAGCAGTTCTGTTACATGAAATGAATGGTGGCACAATGCTTCTTAAAATTAGCCAAAGAAATTCTAATGCCTGAAGAGCAAACTCTTCATGAAAGTGTCATTTCCCTTTTTTTTTTTAAGAAATAAGGCATACCTAAATGTGGTTATTAGGAAAAAAAAAAGAAAATCCAAAGAGAAAGCTTGCAGAACTTAACTAGTGATTTAATGTTCCTTTTAGGTTCTGTTGAATTTTATGCCTATGACAGTGATGCTGGTAGACTATTTTATGGAAGTTTAAACAGCATCACGTGGACTACAGATAAAATTTAGTTGTGTATAGAATTTTATGGGGGATTTTGAACCTTGAGGAAGACATTTATAAACCATATGATAGATGTCTGTATATTGTCACTAAAAAGTAAGAGGTGGGGGGAATAAGAAGGTATCCAAAGATTAGGTAAAGAGAACCCCAGGTTGCTGCTGGCTGAAGTGTACTCTGGAATCAAAATTTTGATGCAGCATGGACCCCAGATTAAGACTTCCAATGCTGTACCTGAGTTAATGTATCTTTTGCTTTTAGGTTGAGCTGGCAATAACTTAGGTATTCTACCTTATTCAGTTGCCCCGTATCACTTTATAGGTTTACACTGTAGAAGCAGTGACAATCTCTTTGTATCTCAAGGTGGTAGTGATCAGTCTGCTGCTGCCAGTTTGGATAAGGTAGTTTCTGTAAGCTGTTACCTGCTGGAAACCCTTTTGCCCCATTTCTTTTCAGCAGTGAGAAGGACAGAAAAGGAAGTGGACAGAATGTTGGGAGGTGGAGTGGTGCACATGCAAATTGGTACTACAGAATAATCTGTAGTATATTAGAGAATATAATGCGCATTGAATTGTAGTACTCAGAATAGCACGTTGAAGAATATATCATAGGTATCCATGAACTATCATTCTGTCTTTTTTTGGGGGTGGTTTTTTTTTCCTTCCCTTTTTTCCTTCCCTTAAACTGTAAGAGCTTTTGTTTGGTTTATTCATTTGCTTCTGTCAGAGCTGCATCTTTTCCATGAGACTGTCCTGTTACTCACTTGACTGCACATGGCTCATAATACTGGGGAAATGGTTTTGGAGGTCTTTGTTTGGGATTGTGTGTGTTTGTTTTGGTAAGCTTTTCAGATGATTCAAATGATTAGTTATCTTTGGTATTTTTTATTGTTTTTTTAATAAATGTAAGGGTTTTTTTTTCTGAGAGCCAACTTTTAAGGCAGCACTCAGGGTGAAAAAGGAATTTAAATGTGTATGCTATAGCAGATAGATAAGCTAGTGCTGATAAAGAAGGTTCTACTAATTGAGTGTCACTGTTCTTTTCAAGGGCTGCACAAAGATGTTCAGGGACAACTCTGCCATGAGGAAGCATCTGCACACTCATGGCCCTCGAGTACACGTATGTGCGGAATGTGGCAAGGCCTTTGTGGAGAGTTCAAAACTAAAGCGACATCAGCTAGTTCATACTGGAGAGAAACCCTTTCAGGTATTGTTAACTCTCAGACTTATGGACCACAGTTTATTTGGTGAACAGGTGTAGACTGTAATTGTTAACTTAGCTTCTGTATGACTTTAGGGATACTATGTTTCTCTATTCTAAAAGTAAAGCTGGTAAAGAGAGCAAATCTTTGCAGATTATCACTGAAAAGAGGAAATATATATATAAAACATTTTTTCTGGTTTTAGTATGCCATAGCAAAATACAGTTTCAGATGCAGAAAAGGTGTTTTTTTAGTGAAAGCATTTGCCTGCAATCTGAAAGTTATTTCTTTCTTTGAAAAATAGACATACTACTGTGGTAAAGCAACCTGAGATATACATACGTATTTTTTTTAATACATTTCACAAGTGATGTTCCCAGCTTCACTGATGATAACATTTAGCATCTAGCTTCATGCGTGGGCAGTCTAGTGATTTAAAGAATAATATTGTTGATAGAAATAAGTAATATTTTGTTAGCTAATGGAGTGTGTCTTCCTTTCAACAGTGTACATTTGAAGGATGTGGAAAGCGTTTTTCACTGGACTTCAATTTACGCACACATGTGCGAATTCATACTGGCGACAGGCCCTATGTTTGCCCATTTGACGGCTGCAATAAGAAGTTTGCGCAATCAACTAACCTGAAATCTCACATCTTAACACATGCTAAGGCCAAAAACAACCAGTGAAAGTTGGAGGAGAAAGTTTTTGAACTCAAAGCATCTTACTTACAGGAGTATGAATTGGAAATAAATATGCCTCCCCTTTGTATATTGTTTCTAGGAAAGAATTTTAAAAAAGAACCCTACAAACCTAAAGGACGTGTTTTGATAAGTAGTAAATAAAAAACAAAAAACACACAAAAAAACTTTAAGGTGACGTTGCTAAGATGCTCTACCTTGCTCTGTAATCCTGTTTCAAAAGAACACGGTGTTTTGTAAATTGTGGCCCCAACCGGATGGGTCAGTTCATGAACTTGCATCAAAAAAAGACAATTCTTTATACAACAGTGCTAAAATTGGACTTCTTTTCACATTCTTATAAATATGAAGCTCACCTGTTGCTTACAATTTTTTTAATTTTGTATTTTCCAAGTGTGCATATTGTACACTTTTTGGGGATATGCGTGGTAATGCTATGTGTGATTTTCTGGAGGTTGATAACATTGCTTGCGGTAGATTTTCTTTAAAAGAATGGGCAGTTACATGCATACTTCAAAAGTATTTTCCTGTAAAGAAAAAGTTATATAGGTTTTGTTTGCTATCTTAATTTTGGTTGTATTCTTTGATGTTAACACATTTTGTATAATTGTATCGTATAGCTGTAATGAAATAATGTAGTATCAAATATTAGATGTGATTTAATAGTGTTAATCAATTTAAACCCATTTTAGTCACTTTTTTTGAGAAATACTGCCAGATGCTGATGTTCAGTGTAATTTCTTTGCCTGTTCAGTTACAGAAAGTGGTGCTCAGTTGTAGAATGTATTGTACAGGCACTGACCTTTTATTAACACCTGATAATATGTACATCCCATGTAATGGTAAGGGCAACAATAAAACAGTGGTCCTAAAGAAAGAATATGGCAGAAAATGATCTGCAAGCACAGTCTATTTTCTTTTTTTTTTGTCTAGAGCAGCCCTAGTTCCTCTTGATCTCGCAGAAATTGGAAGCTTAATAAACTCAGGTTTCCTTTATTCTGCATTCAATTGCAATAATTTGTGATTAAATTACATAATTCTATGTCAGGTGGTATACCCAGACAGAATTGCTGACTGTAATCCTAATTTTTGAGTGACCTAGACTTATGTTAACTGGAGCAGTGGATTTGGAGGCTTGGCCATGTAGCGATGAGTTTTCAGTGTGCCTGGACAACAGCTAGGTGAAACAGTACAGTAAATAACTAGTGGGTACCTTTGTTTAGTCAAGGTAAGGGATCTTGCAGGTTTACATGCAATAGGAATGCAAAGTCAGGGAATGGTAGGGTTTTGAGTGGTCATATCACCAAAAAAAGAAAATCGTGTTTGTCTTTTGGCTGACTTATTTGACTGAGTATAATGATGAAAATTCTTGGAATCTTGTTGGACATCTTTTATTTCAAAACAGCATCTTGGAGTTCTAGGAGAACTTGATGGAGTTTTGATGGTCTAACTAAAAGTGGTTACTGCTCATTTGTTTGAGTGTTCAAAGTAAGAAATTTGCAGATATTATAGTAAAATGTGTCAGATTAATAAACATAATATGCACAGAAATGCATAAGTATTATTTTTTAGATGCATGCAGCATATCTTAACATAGGAAAAATTGTTGTCAGTCTTTGAATTCTATTCTTAACAAGGTTACTCAAAATTTTCATTGCTAATTGAGTCCAGTTTGGTGGTAGTGGAAAAGCCATAGGTAATAATGAAACAATAGTTATGACCAAGGGAATTTTCATCTGGACATAGGTTGATCTGAACAGGGCAGCTCCAGTCTGAGGTTATTAGGGGTAAGGAAAGATGGGTATTTAATTGATTTAATTATAAAGTATGCTTTGGAACTTTGGCAGTAATTTTTATATATATATATAAAAGCAGTTCTTGGAATAGGACAATATACTGAGACTTTTATAGTTAAATTCTGTATACAGTTAAATTAGTGTCCATTCTTGGAAGGAAATAAAATTAGTCTAGTCTAGTTCTAAATGACTTCTTTTTCTTAAACAGTATATATGATGGTGTGAGGCTTGCTCAGGTTTGCTTTCCTATGTCATAATGGTATCTGTTTCATTGAATTGCAAGGTAAAGAGATTCCTTGGTCATGTCAGTGCTTCATCCCTGGGCATACATTTGAGACTAAATTATTTGTTAAATATTTATTTGAGGATTAACTTGGAACCAAAACTTCTGTTGCCCTTAGTTATATTGTATCTAATTACAAAGCGAAATCTAAAAATTTTCATCTAGGCTTCAAATGAGTAGCATTCAATACACTCCTGAGTGTAAGTAGCAACACTTAGTAACACGAAAGATTTTGCTCTGTAACTAGCTAATTTCTTCTTGGGTGTGAATAAATACTTGCATTGAGCATCTTCTGTAAGTTATTTAAGCTTTTAGAGTATAATTGGCACATCTTGTTGATCAAAGTTCATGCTTAGCTGATTCCCGTCTTCCTTATGGATTTGCAATGAAGAAATTGCAGGCATGGAGATTAGCAACAGAGTTGACTTTGCAACCACCATTGCCGGCCTGCTGTCAGCAAGTTTCTGCTTTATGTGATCACCTACTTCAACGCAAATTCAGGTAAAGGGAGGAGAGTAAGGGGTGGGGGAGGTACAGACAGTGGGTTTAAAGCTGGCAAAAACATTTAAGTATTTACTAGTCATGCCTATTCTGCTCATTTGATCTTAACATTTCATATTGCCTCACCTCGTTCTCTTGCTCCTGAAATGGAAGGAGACAAATTTTGTAGCTGTGTGTCTCTTGGCCTCAGATGAGTTTTTAAAAGGTAGAAGTGCCTAGACTAAGTGGCTGTGACGTTTGTGGTCTGCCAGTAGCAGTAAGTCCTGCTTTAAATAGAAGACAAACTGAACTTAAATACCTGTTACTTCTGGAAATTGTTTTTCTTGAAAAGGTTGTAGGAGGAGCCCAGCTACAGATTTGAAACACCTAAGTGAATAAATTATCAGTGAAATGGAATGCCAGGACCTCAGCTGAACTTGCACTTAAGTTACTATCTTTATGAAGAGGTTCACTATTGAGTTGAGGTGGTGCAATTTGACATGCCCCCCACCCCAGTGGCCACAAATTGTCAATCAACAAAGCCAGGTCCTAAACACATTATAACAACATAGCTTATCAGCAGTAACACAGTTTTAAATGCAATCAAAGATCCTTTCCCTCTGCTAACTCCACAGTAAAATCCAAAACAAGCAACAGAAATGGCAAAAATATTGAGGCTTTAAAATATCGGAGAAGGCTGATCCCTTCAAAGTACTAGATGAAGAGGAATGGCGGTGGTAATAAAAGGTGTTACCACGTGGTCATCATCTGCCCTAAAGTGATCACAGGATAGTGTATCAGTGTGTGCCTTGAAGAAATGGACCAGTCAGTCTTTTTACTCGGTTAAGATGCACAAACTCGACAGTATATGCTGAACGGAGTTCTTCAAAATGTGATTCTCTAATGCCTAGAAGAAATGAAGAAAAATCAGGTTATTAGGGCCACACAAATCACTATTGGAAGTCAAGCAGTAGCTGTTACTGGCCTTGGTTGATCAGTTGTTTTATGACAGCATTTTGGAATAATAAATTCTTCATCTGTACAGTGCTTTTCTTAAGTCTGTTACAGTGGCTTGAGATGAGGAGGGAAATAAACAATGCTTGTTTCAGCATTAAGCTTTGACTTAGTAGATGTACAAGAGTTCCCATATTGCTTAAAACTGGGGGGAAATCAAAGGTCTTTCAAAAGCTTCAGAACTTGGGGTGGATTTTAAAACAATGTAAATTGGGTGTAAGTTTTTCAGGAAGGAATAGAAGTTGGACTCTTATTCAGGCAGAAATGAAAGTATGCTGCTTCATAACTGTGTAAATGAAATGGTTAAAAAGTAGCACTGTCCTTGGGAAGAGTCCCAGTGCAGAAGAATGGGAGTGTGATGTGAGGAAGAGGGCATGAGACCCTGCTGTGGAGCACAAGCAGAAACATCTACACAGTGATCCACAAAGGTATAAACAAATTAGAAGATAAATGTATGTGTTTGTATTATCATGAGACTCAGTATTCATTTTGATCATATGAATTGATCTAGTGTCAAGCTGCAGAAGTCTAACAGTGTGAAGATGGCATTTACAGCAATGCAGGTAACACCTGAGTGGCTACCAGTCTCATTTTGTAAGGTAATTTAATCTCTGATCCTTCACTCATTTTTATTCTCTCTGCCTAAAATAAACAAGCTTGGGCATGTTTATACGTACTTACAGTCATCCTATATTTTTTGTGTAGATTTTTTTTCTTACTCCTCTGGAAGCAATCTGGAGATTATTGAATTTCCTTTTGGAGAAAGCACATAAGAATCAATGTAAGGGTTCATATGAACTTTTCAGGTGCTGTTTTCCCCTAAAGTTGTCAGAAGAGCACTGTTTGCTGTAGGTAAGTAAGTAAGATCACTTGTAGCAACTGCTTTTTAGGCAATTCCAGTTTTGGGGCTTAAATCTTCTGTTGATTTTTCCTGACAAAAAAGCTTTAAGACTGAATGCTGTTTGGATACCATTCCTTCTGTTGTACGTTACAGTGTGGACATAATGTCCCTCTTGTGAACGGTGTTCTCACCAGGTTCCAGCATAAACCGGAAGCTCTCTTCAGGCGGGTGCCTGAAGTTCCGTTGAAATGGTCGATTAGGGGAAGAAAGGGATGGAGAGTTGTTGAGCTTGTTGCAGGACTCTGTATGCTTCTCTTAAAACCACTTTTGTGTTAAGTGTTCTTGAAAGTTTCTCTCTAACTGGGCTGATGCTAGGTAGCATCTATGTCAATGCTTTGTTTTGCTCTACGGATGCTCTTGAATAGTAGTTTGCCAGGAGATGGCAGTGAATTACCAGTTTGTACAGCATGACGCGCAGACAGAATAGCAAAGTGTCAGGCTGCCCCTGTAAGGTCAAGTGTGTGTAGGGTGTCCTATGGTGTTCAGCAGACCTTAACAGACTTGGAAGATCTAATGTTCTGTAGTGTTAATGAATGTGCTTTTAGCTGTAAATGGCTATTTTAGTTAGCTGATAGACATGTAAAACACCTGTGCAGTGGCTTCCTGAAGAGTCTCAGCTCACCTGAGGCAGTTAGGACCTTGCCATTTGACTTCCTTTCACTGTGTTCCTTCCTAATGATTGCAAGGTAATTGCAGGGACTGCAGGACAGATCCCTCTGAGTGCCCTATGTTGTTGCTCTTCAGGGAATCAAAGATCTCAGACTGCTTCTCTCTCCAGACGAGGCCCACAGTAAAGGTGTATTTCAGAAGAATGTTTTTCATGAGTAACAGGTATATTTTTGAGATACATCATAGAGCAGATAAATACTTAGGCATAAGATGGGCTGCTTGTTAAACGGTGAAAGATGCATACACAAAAAAACTTGGTGACCAGATGTGGTGTAATGTACTTTAGCTAAAGCTCATCCCAGCAGTCAGTTGCAGGACAAATCTGTATAAAACTGTCTTATTAGTTAGTGTTTTCATTTAAAGGCTCATGAAGTCAGGTGTCCTTTAGAGCTGCGAGATACTTGCCAAGAACCTCACTAATGGTGCCAGTTGCAATTTGGGCTTGCAGTGTTTTTGCCTGTCTCTCACATGGGTCATCATGCAGCTTATGTTTTGACTTATTTTTTAACAGGTTTCTATTTTTCTTAGCAAAACAGAAGATTCTCCCATAGCCTGAAAGTGCTTGCCAATGTTCATGGTTTGGAAGTGGATTGCAAGGAATAACCTGCAGATAGGCCATAGTATTTTCCTTTTGTGTGGTTTATTGTTTATTTTTTTATTCTTTCCTCTTGCATAGGTTAGGGATAGGGGATTTCATCTCATTTTTTTTCCAGTGTGTGAAATGAAAGTGTACAGTACTGGCAGGGAAGCAGGTATCTGCCTGGAGGAAATAGAGGGTGAGAGTTATTTTTACTTTTACCTCCTTCTGTTACAGTTTAAATACTTGGACTTTATTACTAGCCTGTTTGAAAATTACCTTTGTAGACTCTTTCTTAAGTGAAAGATGGTATTAAGTGAAAATACATCACTGCACAAGGTGTGTGGCCTGGTTGATTGCAACACTTGAGTATACCTGATCTAGTACAAATCTCTGCTTAAGGCAACTAGATTAGAGTCATAGATCATAGAATATTTTGGGTTGGAAGGGACCTTCAGAGGCCATCTAGTCCAACCCCCTTGCAATGAATAGTGCAGATTGGGTCCTAGAAAAAGTGTACTAATCTTATTTAATACCAGCTTTAGTCTAGCCAAGTCAGATTACTCCAGCAGCAGTTCTTCCTATTTGAATATATTTAGCAAGCAGTGCAGATTATGAGGTCAACCTTCATTATGATTTTAGTATTTTATTGATTGACACCTAGATATGGTTGAAATGGAGCAACTCTATTTTACTGTTAGTAAAAAAAACCTGTGTTTCAGTAAGAAAAATCAGTCAAAATACAATAATGATTGATCATATAGTCATAGAATGATTTGTTTGGTTTGGAAGGGACCTTAAAGATCATCTAGTTCCAACACCCCTGCCATGGGCAGGGACATCTTCCACTAGACCAGGTTGCTCAAAACCCCGTCCATCCTTGCCTTGAACACTGCAAGGGATGGGGCAGCCACAGTTTCTCTGGGCAACCCGTTCCAGTGTCTCACCACCCTCACAGTAAAGAATTTCTTCCTAATGTCTAATCTAAATCTACCCTCTTTCAGTTTACAGCCATTCCCCCTTGTCCTGTCACTACATGCCCTTGTAAAGAGTTGCTCTCCAGCTTTTCTGTAGGTCCCCTGTAGGTACTGAAGGCTGCAGTAAGGTCTGTCCCAAGCTTTCTCTTCCCCAGCCTGAAAAACCCCAACTCTCTCAGCCTGTCAAATGATGCCAAGAATTTTAACTGTGTTATTTAAAAGTTTTATTGACTTGAAGGGTATTTTGTGAACATTAGGACTTGCCTTTTTTCCATTTATATCAATATATATGGTATTATTTTTCACTGCAGACCTCTGCTTGCTTGCTTTTAATTTATTGCTGAAACTAAAGCTTAACAGCACATTCTAGGTCAAATAATAGTGATAATAAACTCTAAGACAAACTTTTACTGTATAACGTGTTATTGTGGCTGTTATGTCACTATTCATTTTTTTTGTTGTTAGTGATAACCATTTTTGTAGTTAGCATAACACTAGTACAAAAATTGCAAAGCAGTTGCACTGGGAGTTTGAAAACGGCTTATTTTCCTCTGGTTCACTCCCTTACTGACCATGAAATTCCATAAATTCCTGGACATTGACAAGCAGTTTGCTTCCTTAGGATTTCAAAGCCTATCTCAGCTAAGTTTGGCCAAGAAAGTTTTCTGGTTCCCTACTCTCTACAGTCCCTTGGATCCTTCATCTATCGCTATGACTGTGGTGTTTGATACATCACATTGCCTTGTTAAAGCTTCTGTTTTCTCTAGCTGTTTTTCTGGCAGAAGAGGGTTTGCATGCACTTTCTGCTAATCTAATGGTGTTTGGCACACTTCTGGCCTTCAGGTTGTTCTTTAACTATCCACAGATCAAAAGCCTGGCTAACAACAGCTGTTAATGCCTGTTTTCCAGTCTAATAGTAAATATACTCAATTTCCGAGAACAAACAGATCTCTTCTCTGAAAGGTCAACTCTATACTTGTGCTGTGGTAAGTTTCCCAGCATGCTACCTGTCCTGCACCTGCAGTGTACAGGTTTTCATCCCCTGAATGTCATGCTACTTTTTCATGTGAACTGTAAAAAAAAAAGCGGTATGCAGAGAAAGGCAAGGAAGAAAAGCAAAAAAATACTGTTGTGTTATAGTTGCAGCCATGATAAAATAGCTTCTTTAAAACTTGAGGGTGGGGGGTTAACTGTCTACTTTTTATTCCTCTTGTCCTAATTGTCTGTATTTGTGGCTGCAACTTGTGACGCTGGTATCTCCCATCCACTAGCAGGGTGGGTCATAAGAGAGTAGGGTATGGAGAGTTGATAGTAGGTGAGTTTTACTTTTGGTTAATTTTATCTTATTCCCTTCACTTGCTAGGGTATTAATAGAGCATCTCCTACCCAATATTATGATGCTTGATAATACTTGTAGGAAGGAGGATCTGTCAAGGCAGAATACAGTTTGTCTGACTTGGTTAAATTGGATGACATATCATCCAATTTAGTGGGAAGAAACGGAATCATGTTTAAAAAGGCTGAAACTATTGCCTAGCCTTGGTTTAATAATTAGAAGCTGCACAGCTTTTGAGCAGCTAACGTCAGACTAGGTTGAAAGCTGGCTTTCTCCCTCCTCTTTGGCTTGTTGAGTAACCTCTAGTCTCTGCTACTGATTATTTCTTTTAAGTTCCAGATGGATGAATTTCTGGAGAGAATTTTAGTAAATACTGCAAGTAGAACATTGTATGGCCCTTTCTGTTACTGTCTTTTAGGGACACAGTGTTTGCCTATTCTGAGTACTTATTTTGGTGCCATAGTTCAAAACATTGTTGCTCCTTCTCAGAGAACATTAGGTACTTGACTGGAACTGCTCCTGGTCAGGGTTAGTTGGAGAAGTGGTGGCCTTTCCCTTATCTAGCACCTTGTCTGTGTGGCTTTTTATTTGGAATATTGATGCTCTTTGTGAGCTAGTTGTGCTGTCTAGAAACAAAAAGCTACAAGTGACACAGCTTTTTGCTAAACTTGTACATCTTGGAGCCAAGCATTCTTCTGATTTAGGTATGAATGGTGCTGTTGGCACACCTCGTACTTGATTCTGATCTGCTTTGCAGGGACCCTTGACTGCTGCAGTTGTGCAGCCCTGATGTTGATCAGCACTGCTTAAACCAAATAAATGCATAATATGAAAGGGTGAGGCATGCTGCTAGCTCTTTGGCTCTAAAAGCAGGATTTTTCTCTTAGTAGCTATAATATCTTCGAGTGAGGTACTCACTGAAAACACCAGCTTGAAGAAGCAAGTTCAGGCAACTTCCCTCCTTGGCTTCAGTGAACACGAAGCCAGAACAAGGCACTGCACTTCCTGGTGGTGTATGGAAGGTGGATGAGGAACAAGCTTCTTCAGGTATGAGCCAGAAACCCCACTCTTTTCAAGCTAGATTTAACACAGTGAAGCATCTGAGCAAAACAGAAGAAACTTTAAAAGAACCAAAGTCAAAATTTAAAAAAAATTTATTCCCTCAATTTTATATACAGTAATTCCCTCAATTTTATATACAGTACAAAGGTGTAAATGGTCTTTGTTGTGAGTTGTTGTGCATATGCAGCTTAGTAGACAGATTTAACATTCAATTTGAATCTCAGTGCAAGTAGGCACTAAAACATCCAACATACCTCCAAGGTATAAAAAGACATACCAGTTTTACAGGTTTCTCCAGCATATTTTGTTACAGTGCAAAAAGCTATGAAATAAGGTTTCTTTAGAAAATTCACATAAATTAAACACATATTGCACTTGTCCCAACCAAAAGGGTAACAAGTTATACTTACTGAACTAGTTTATGTTTCAGAACATTCCTCACACACATGCACTCCTTCCTCCTGACTATTTGTGCTAAATACGTGTAGTTTAAATCTTAAATAAGTGTTTATGGATCTTTGAACTAATACAGTCCCTCTTGAGCAGACTGCTAAAGAAAAAGAAATTACAGCAGATTAACAAGAAAATTCTCCAAATTCTATTCAGGCTTCTATCCAGTAGCACTGTAACTAAACACATAAAAATCAGTGTTGTTTAAATTCAGAATACAAGTGTATTGAACATCAGCCATTTCGGGTGCTTACACCCCTATTTTCTGGGAAGGTATAAAACTGCCAGTTCTAAACATGTACATATTTCTGCTGTACATCAAGCTGCTAAGCTAACATTGCATCCACAAACGTTTGTGCAATACCACGGGTAGGACTTTGATTTCTGTACATCACTGGCTGCTATGGGGCATATTGGGAGAAGGGGGCAAAGTTGCATTAACTTTGGAGAACAAAGTCTACTTGGGCTGAATCTGTGGCAATGGAATCCGTGCACTGCCAAACAAGAAATAGAGGTGAAGGCAAACAACATCAGTGTTGCTAGATTTGAGTTTCCCTAAACCCTTACAAGCCTTGAGAATTAAAGGAACAAGTGCATATGATTGCAGATGATAACTTTGTGCTTAAGATACTTATTCAAAGCTGAAAGGTAAGGGAGTGCCTTAGGAACAAATAACTTTTTTGCCTTTTTTTTTTTTTTAGCAAACCAGTATGAACAAAGTTGCTACTAAAATACTGACATATAAAGGCAGAAGAAAAGTAAAACATGGCTAGCTGAATGCTAGTTCATGTCTTAAACAGTTCAGGGTTACCTGCAAAATGCCTCCAACATTTCATTTCTCCCCACACTTCACCTTAGAGAACTATACTTCTTCCTGTTACATACAAAAACCAGCATTTATTTTCTGAAAACATTTCTGCATTCAACTCATTCAGAACATGAGTGGAAGAAAACCTGACTTCTGGTACTACAACATTCTTCAGATCCAAATCTGGAGCTGCAACAGTGACTGTACAGGACTTTCTAAAGGCAGGTTCCCATCTTACTTGCATACTACTAGATATGAAGTCCTTAGTAAGGCAGTATGTACTTTATACAAGTAATGAGATTAAATCCTGACTTGACACATTTAGGAATTCTTTATACAGATAGTATACGTTCACACCACTTGTGTGGGTCGTGTTAAAACTCAAAAATCCCAAGTAGCCAGGCTTTGGATGAAGAGAACAAACAGATAAGGTTCACAAACTGGAAGGCTGCTGGATTACTGGACCTGGTTCACATTCACGAAGATTGTCTTCTGACCTCATATACATTAGGAACACAGTGACAGTAGCAAAGGTAGCTGCGTTGACAGGAAAAGCACGGAGAAGTGTGGAAGTAAGACCTCTTGTGAACACCCTCCAGCCTTCTTCGTGGTAACTCTTTCTGACACAGTCTAAAATGCCATTGTATTGTGTAACGCCTCCAACTCCATCAGCCTGAAGCCGGGATTTGATCACATCCATGGGATAGGTTGAGAGCCAGGATACTATTCCTGATATCCCTCCAGAAAACAGCAGTTTTGGAATAACATAACTGTCTTCAGCTTCACAGCCTAAATACCTGGTCATTAAGTCATAGGTCAGGAAGTAAAAGCCAAAGCTTGGAGTCTCTCTTATGAATGTAGAGACCATGCCCCTGTTGATACCCCTTAGCCCTTCCTTTTGATAGATTTTGATCAAACAATCCAGAGAATTTTTGTAGTTCTTTGTTTTTAGTTTATATTCGCCTGTTCCTTGAAGCTGCATTCTTGTCTTTGCCAACTCCATGGGACAGCAGATGACGCACTGGATAGCCCCTGCTGCTGACCCTGCAAGGAACTGGTTTAGAGGAGTGTCTTTTCCAAGAGCACGAAGTGTGTTTCCTTGTACACCGAACACAAGCGCGTTAATGAAGGTGAGTCCCATCATTGGTGACCCAATACCTTTATAGAGTCCAAAAGCCTAATGGAAGAAGGAAGAAAAACCCCTTTTCAACAGTTATATTCATAAACCTCCTGAAACTGTGCAGAATGTGGCTTTTCTGGCTCTCCCTCGTGTCCTAATTTTCTAGTAGTGGCCATGAGACGAGTACCATCTTGTTTTGTAATAATTTAATTGCTGCCTAAACCACAAAAATCTAACCACTTTTAGCAGTACAAATACAATGCTGAACACATCCAGAAAACAATCTCAGTCCTTCCACAGAAAAGTTTTTCTGGCAAATTTTACACTTTAAGTAGCTAAAAGCCCAAAGCCACCCTTTTAGTTATGGTATTTAAGCTTCAGCAGCAAAAAACTCCCTTCACCAGTTTCTTCACTCATTGCTCAGATTGCTTGGATTCTCAGAAAACCAGCTATTCAAGTAACTTAATTAAAATGTTACCTTCAAAATAGCACCTTTCAGTTTAGTGATCTTCATGAAGTTTTTGGCAAACTTCTGACTACACTCTCTGCCCTATGCTCAAGTGAGGTTCAGAGTATGCCTGTCTCTCGTTCTTCAATAGTTGTAGGGGTTTTAGCAGCTTTCCCACCCTTCTGATTGAAAATACATGAAGATACAAAATATGAAAAGCATTAATTTTGTACTTACAGATTCTTGTTTTATGATGGATTGAAAGCAATGGAAGGTCCCACGGTAGAGAGGTTTCTCTACATTTTGAACTTGCAGACGAACCTATAAAAAGTTGTACAAGGTACCGATTTGTATGTCAAGAACAGCCTAATTGGTAAATTAGTGTCTTGTGTATGTATGGAGATTTGCTATAGCAGTGTATATGCAAGAGCACAGGTTGGACACTGGAACACCACATGTGGCAAAATAACTTAGAAGTATTGTGTGTTTTGATTTAATTTTGGGGGTGAAAACATGAAAGTAGTATTAACTACTTGTGAATAATAGAAAAACACTATGTGGAAGTACAAGAGGGTACACCATTCTCTAGAGTTTCGGACAGGAGTTTCCAGTACTGACTAGAAAAATTACTTTCTTTAGCTGCCAAAAATACTTCTGTTCACACTACAGAATAACTGTACAAACCTGATGTAAATATTTTTATAAAATTCTAAGCATGAAATAAGGATAATTTTTAAAAGGCTGGGAACTTTCAATACCACCCCCATAGTATTTCTGCTGCTGAACCTGGGGACCCTTCACTAACATCTGGTATTTTTCAGAGGGTAGCTGGAAAGTGACTCTTTAAGATGTGTCCTTGCATAACAGTAAAAATCAACTTGTCCTTTTAAACCTTAGTCTGTTTTTTTTAACCTGCTGAACACAAACCATTGGTGAGGGTGTGGCCATTTCAAAGCTTTATTGTTAGTAATCAATTAACTTTTCTAAAATGGAAATGTTATGATCTGCTGGACAGATAGACGTCACTGTAACTGGCAATATGAGGGGAAAGTCCCTTTTCTAGATGTTTTTTAACTTGTAATGGAAAAGTCCACTCCTGTTTTTTGCTGCTAATTTGTCCTTGACACACTTAAAGTCTCAAAGCTGCCCAGTTCATGCAAAGCCCTACACTGCAGTAAACTCAATAAATTGATTGGCAAAGTTAGGAATCTGTCATTGATCTTTAGCATGGAGAGCTGCAGTATTCCTCAGAAAAGATGCTTATCAGCCATTTAATGCTGCTGCAGCTCCAGGGCAAAAAAACCTTTAAGTCTCTTAGTCTGAACAGAAGAAAATATCAGATCTGTGTGAAAAATTCCTGACTTTATGATCTTTCTGTCATTGTTTCCCTAGAGTAGTAATAAACACCACCCCAGAGATGACAGCCCTGCACAATGATGTTGGCCTAGAAAAGGATCTGGGGACATGGTTTGTCAAAATTCTATAATTGGGGTAGCTTTCTTTTTGAGACAAAAAAAAAAATATTATATTTTAGGGGGTTTATATTCTTACAACATGTGACTTTTGATTTACAAAACAAAGTTTAGTTTTCAATGTCTTTTTAATATGCACATTAGTGTTTGCTAGCCATGCTGAGAGGCCAAGATCACTTCATCTTCCAAGATGGAAGAGGGCTTTAAAACATTTTAGTATCAAAAGTAGGCTTAGGGTAGAATTCAAAGAAAACAAATCCTTTGTTATCCAAAGTGACATTTGGGGGTAGGCAGATTGTTAAACCTTATCCACAGGCAAGGTCATAAATCTCAATAAGCTGTCAGAATCGGGCAAAACAAAGGTTTTATTCCATTTGCAGTTTACTGCTATGATTTCAAACCCTATCTGTAAAGTCAGGGGACCTCCATGTGTATGGGCTTTGGGAGAATTGCAGCTTAGGAACTTTCTTGCTTTAGTGCTCCTATACATGTCTTCAGTAGTTTAGAATCAATCATATTCTGTATATAGGTTGAATTTCCTAGTGGCATAAAGCTCACACTGTTTTTGTCTAAATAATTTGTGAAATATTGACCAATGAAGCCTTGTTATGGGATAAAATATTTAGAAAATACTAACACTCTAGGTCCAAGAATGAAACCCAGCTCTTTCACTTGAGCACAGTGATGATTGCATAGGGGTACCCACATCAGCAAACTACCAGGCCAGGCAATTTCATTAGTATTAAAATGCCATATTCAATAAGCTCTTTAATGTGTAAAACTATTGGAAGGATGAATCATGTGCAAAGTTTAACCCTCTGTTCTGTTCCTTGCATAATATTCTGGCTTTCTCCTTATTTGAAACCACTAGTACTAAACTTTTAGGTCTAATAGTAACACACTGTAATTTCATGCCACTAAAGACTTCCATAGAGGTACTCAAGATTAAGCAAAATAATCCACCACAACCCCCACAACAGTCCAAACATTTAATAATATGCAAATTAAGTCATTTGGAAGTGTTTGAGCAATGAAAACGACCTCCAAGGATATGCAGTGTTTAAGACCTCAATGACAGTGTACCTGAGATTGTTTTAGAGCCACTGTATGTAGAAATGTGTACAGCCAGAAATGCATACCAGAAAGAAGGTTCAGAATAAGACTTTAAAAAAAAATTTGTATCTTTAAACCCCACTCCCTCCATGCCCTAGCTGTAGAAGAGGGACACATCAGTATAAAACTAAAAAGGGGAAAAACTTCATAATTCTTTTAGGTCTTTATTTGAACTAATACATTTTGGAATAAATTAAGACTGAGAGAAACAGAAGTGTTCACCTGGGCTATACTTACTAGTTAACTCTCCCGTGATGAGGCTTATCTGTCATCTACAACAAAGTAACACTTTTGCTGTTAATGAAGACAGCCCCTAGCTCAGAAAGTAAAGGCAGTTAAAAGCAAAACAGCAATTTTATACATTTATACAACAAACCAGGGTCAAGGAGTTTGCCAGTTCTGAGAGCAGCTCAACTGTGGGTCTAGCAGGGCAACTTCACAGGCTTAATCTCTCCCTGTGTGTCCCACCATCCCCCTCCCCACTATGTGAAACATGATCAACAGCCAAAAACAAAGAGCTTTAAAGCCAAGACAGAAGTAAAATTCTGGCTTATCTAAACAGCTTTCCCATTGTTCAGTTACATTAAGAACTTATGGTCTAAGGTGACTACCACTTAGCCCTTTAAACGCTACAGAACTATAAAAGAGGTTAATTCTTAACACACATACGTACACAACTAGTTATGCAATGTCTTTTTTTTTAATAGACTAGTTATAGTGTTAGTTTTCCCACACAGAGTGGTGGCTATGTCAGCTAATAACACAAACATTAGTATTTAACAAAAAGAGATAATTGTTTATAATGCCTTCTAATGGGTATGAAAATATAGTGTGCCATGCTATATTTCATAAAACATTTAAAGTCATCCAGAAACAAGCTATTTGCTCTATTTCAAAGCAAGATGTTTTCTCTAAAGCCAACACATCTATTTGCATTAATAGATCTGCTGGAACTAATGTGGGAGCTGCAGTTTTGCAGACACTGCAATGTTTGGTTTCATGCACTGAAGCTATTCCACTTTACAAACCAGGAAGACCCCACACATGGTTAACTTCAGTTTGAGCACAGAATTTTAGCAGTTTTGCTGGCTTCAATGAAATGACCCATCACCTTCAGTTAAGCATGTAAAATTTGGCAGGATGGGGTACGCGAAGAGAGACAGCTGGCCCTGTACCACCATGAGAAAATGTGCAAGTCTGCATAATACTGCTCCTGAAAACATATACTAGGATCCAACCCAATTATTTAACAGTTAAGTGTGCCATATTCCAATAAACATACAGGTTTTGCTATATGAGCAGCTTGCACTTGACTAGCAAAGACTAATATCCAGGTAGGAAGGTCTGTGTTGAATTAGCCATTAGCTAATTAGTTCAATTAGCTAGAACACAGAATATGGTGATGACCTCAGTAATACTATCCAGCCGTTTGCATATCTAAATTCAGGAAGGTAGAGTTATTCCAAATATAGGTCTAGTGGGTGGCATGCTGCCTGCTGCAGTCAAGTGATCAGCTGTATTAATTCAGCAGGGAATATACTGACATGCCTTCTTCGATTCTTCCAGTGAGAGACTTTGGATTCAAGGATTTTAGGTTTCAAATCTTATCTTTGAAGGAGCTACCCGTAGTACGTATGATACATACAGCTCCCAGACCATCAGAAAATCAATCTTAACTTGCAGTTACAAAAATATATTAAAAGGAGGAAAAAGCCCCCGACAAACTTCATGCTATGGATCTTTATGCACTTACACCCTTTGGCTAGTGTAACAAATTAATGCTTGAGGGGAAAACAAAACACAAGGTTTCAACCTAGTAACAAAGCAGGTTTGAGTTACAAAAGCAGAGGGGAGGCAGTTTTAGCAGTTAGTGATGAACAGTTGCAGAGAAGCAAGCTTAGGACAAAACTAAGTTAAATTGAAGATTGTACTTTCTAATACAACATTTTTACTACACTAACAAAATATTTGTCATGTTCCTGGATTGAATCATACATAGTTTTTTTTCAGTTCTGAATAGCTGCAGATCTACAACAGCGGTTGGGGAGGGTTGTTTCAGGCTTTCCAGTGCGGATTTATACTCCTACAGTGTCTGGGGATTTTTGTTTTTTTCCTCCTCCACTCCTTGAAAAACTTATCCTACCTAGAGACAAAGGTATTTTATAATCAACCCACCTTAACAGTGTCAAATGGGTGTCCTACCAGTACTCCTGCAGCACCTGAAATAAAACAAATGCCATGGTTATGACTCACAGTTTTCTTCTTTCATCAGTTTTCTTCCTGAATCCTTGGGGCTGCAGTAGCCCAAGCAGTACCTCCACAGACTGAGGCAGAGCCTTATTGGTAGGCCAGGGAAAGAGCATCCTATCAAGTCAGAAGATGAGACACCTACAGTTCAGTCCTTTAAGCCAACACTTGGTGCCTTTATGCTCCAGTCAAGCTCCTGGGCCCCAGGTGGGGGTTGAGGTGTGTGACTACAGAGCATGCCACACTGTACAGGATGGTCAGCAGTGATTCTGAGCCTCAGCCCAAGGTGAGTCCAGTGGGCAGAAGTCACAGGTTTCCTCTGAAGCAAAACATTTCTCATAGATGCCAGCCACCCTGTGATGGCATAGAAAACCTGGAAGTTTCCCTAAAGGCAGAAAAAACATCCCTGCACTCTGCCCACAGCCCTTCCAGATGCAATGGTAGCACCTGCAGAAGGACCATGCATTACCAAAGCCCTCTGCTTTATTATAGCATCAAAGGATTTTTTAGAAGTTATATACAGGCCTGTTAGTTATACTAATCTGGATATATGCATTTGGCAAGTACTGGCTGAGGCAAGGAATCCTCTGGCTCTGTATTTCTCTGAACCATCGATCCATTTATGTTTGCTGACAATAGCAAGAACTACAAAGAGTGGTTCAGTGCACCTTCTTGCGTTGGCAGATAACATCCCTCCCTCTCCTGAGAGGATGTGGCAGAAATACAGTGCCCACTCTAGGATGGTGTAGTCCAGGTTGTTCAAAGCCAGCACAACGGCAAGATAGTCCAAATCACAAAAATAGCCATGTGCTGTGTTCAGCATGAAAAGACTGGTGGCACAACCAATCCTGTGGGATCCCTGATGAAGCAAGGATCACTAGGATGAAGTCAGAAGCTGCAAGAAAAAAAAACAAATTCTCTTTGCCAGGGTGGCAAGGAGAACATCAAACGTGAATATCTGAAAAGACGCGAGAATAAATCTCCTGAATGCAATTTAACAACTGCTAAAAATAGGAGGGCCGTAAGCAGATGCACAGGGACGAGCAAGGCGAGCATAAGCGTTCTCTCCTCTTCGTGTTCAACCTCCCCGCTACGGGCCTGCTGCTGCTCGTGTGCTCACCCGAGAGCCCTCTCCCAGCCAGCCAACGCATCCAGCCCCTTCGCGCAGGCCGGCTTCTGCCACAGGCAAGGCGGCCGCGGCCCCGCTCCTGCGGGAACCCCCCGAGACCTTCCGCTCCCCCTGCCCTTTCCCGGGATCGGCACTACCTGCGCTGGGGCGGCCGCTGCATCCCCTGTGCCCTGCTCAGGTCTCCGCTCCCAAAATAAAAGCGCTGCGTCCAGCCTTGCCCTCCCTCCGCCCCCCGCCTTTTTCTCACCCCCTTTTCCCCGCTATTTACAATTTATTTTTTTTTTATTCTCCCCCCTTTTTCCTTTCCTCCCATCCCTTTTTTCTTTATTTTCCTTTTTCCCGTTGCCCCCTTTTCCTGCCCCTCACCTCCGACGCATCCAGCGAGGAAATCCAGAGCCATGCTGGCGCCCTCCGTCCCCAGCGGGGCCCGGCCCTTGCGCGATGCCGCTCCGCGCACTGCCGCTGCCCGCCCCTCTGACCGCCCTTTCTACCGCCAGCCTCCGCCCCCCCCGCAGCAGGGGGCCGGACCGTGCCTGCGGAGGGGCGGGCACCGGGACAACTCCCCCTCGCGGATCGCAGCCACTGGCGGCTGCGCCGGGCGGCTCCGGGCAAAAGGCGGGACGGGACTACAGGAGATGGGGGCTGGAGCCGCACGGGACTGGTCTGGTCTGTTTTGCAGCTATATCGGAGCGGTTAACCTGATGTAAAGGCAGAAATAAACATTGGAGGCTGGGATGTGGTGGTCTGGGGAGGGCGATCAGAAGTCAGAGCATCCCTCCCGCTGAGCATCAACACCCCGAGATGTTTGGGGTAGTTAGGGACGCTGTCCGCGGCGTCTTGCATTCTGGATGAGGCATCCCTGGGCGCTGGTGGTTGGAAAGCCTGCAGAGCTTATGCCGGAGGATTTTGGAGGGGGTGTCTCTTTTTAATAGCGATGAAACGTATGTAACACCTCTCCTATGAAGAGTGGCTGAGAGAGCTGAGGTTGTTCAGCCTGGGAAAGAGAAGGCTACAGGGAGACCTTGTTGTGGCATTTCCATACTTAAAGGGGGCTTATAAAGATGGTGAGAGACTTTTTACCAGAGTCTGAAATGGTAGAAGAAGGAGTAACCATTTAGCCCTAAACCTGAAGATACAGATTATAAACAAAGAAGAAATTCTTTAAGATGAGGGTGCCGAGGCGCTGGCGCAGGTTGCCCAGAGGAGATGTGTCTGCCCCATCCCTGGCAGTGTTCAAGGCCAGGTTGAATGGGGCTTGGAGCAACCTGGTCCAGTGGAAGGTGTGCCTGCCCATGGCTGAGGGGTTGGAACTGGATGAGCTTTATGGTCCCTTCCAACCCAACCCATTCTGTGATTCTATAACAGACTCCCTCACCAGTGTTAAACCAGAGAGGGAAGGAAAGGCTGCACCAGCAGATGTGGGCTCTAGGCCAACTCCTGCCCCCATGGCACAGCTGGAAGCACAGGGATGAGACTCTACCTCTGATGATCATGGCCACAAATCAGTAGCCTGTTGCCCATGGGATTTAGCAGAGACCTGGATCTCAGTATTACACATTGCTGTCGAAGAGGCTTCTCCCATACCTTCCTCTCAGGCTTTTCTTGGTTTGTATTAACTGCTTTCCTACTAACACTACCTGGCTACAAGGTGCCCTGCTGATGCCAGAGACTTTAAATGGGAAATTCAAGCTGTTGACAGTTTCAAAAGGGAGCCCTGTTTAAGCCACTCCTTGTCTCTGCAGGCAATGTCTGAGAAAGGGGCATACCAGTGGCCTGGAACAACAATGTGCCTATTCAAGCTTTGCTTAGAGAGAGTAACTTCTAGAAGCAGAATGGAAAAGCAGCTGGATTTCTTTCTTCTTTTTTTTTTTTTTTTACAATTGTCATGGCAGCCCTTTCCTTGATGTAGCAGCTCAATACAAAACTGATAAAATCTTGCAGTGGAATAGCATATTAAAAGTTAAGTCAGCTTTTCCTTTCTGTGCAAACAGAAAACACACAGCAAATCAGCAAAGAAAAGGATCTTTCCCAGGAGGTCAGAAATTACTACTACAGAACAAAACCTGAGAACCTCCCCCAGATTTAGCTGCTCTTGGACCATCATTACAATTAATAAGCAGATAAGATGAAAATGCAAAGCACACAATGAATTCCTGACCTTTCCCATACCTTCTTCCAACCCGACACTCATTTGGGGCCCTTCTCATCTCTAAACTCTGTCAAATCAAAAGAAGCCCCCAGGTGTCTCCAGGATGCTTTTGATTCTCTGATTCACATACCTGTCCTACCTGGGGACAAGCAGTTGGTGTTAGAGAGCAAGCAGGTAGGCTGGTCTTGCCCTTTGCCACAGCACAGAGGGCTTTGGGAGCTGCCCGCTCCTGTTGTACCACACACTGTTCTACCTCCTGACACATACCTTAGACATTGCTGAGCCCATACACTGGCAGCCAGTACTTGAAATAAGACAAGAAGCCCCAGACAGTCCTTTTCCTTTAAATATTTTCTCTAAGTAGAGGTGGAAGTGAATTTCTGGGAATCTTGTCTGCTCTGGCATCCATGAGAGGAACTACAATCATGTACACAGCTTTGCAGGTGAAAGTCCAGATGTTATGTACATCTGCCTTGCAGACAAACCTCGGAAGGATCAGTTTGGCCAAAGTGTTCCTGGCCAAAGTGGTTTTAATCTGTTATTAAATCCTCTGATCTCCCAAGCAATCTGCCTCAGAGAAATTACCTTCTCCCCCAGAAGTGTTTTGTAACTTTAATATTTGCCCACAATGGACAGGGAAAACATTTCCTCTCTCTTTGCAGGCATTTATTCGGTTATCTGAAGACAGTTTCAATATTAGTACTTTCTTCTCTGAATTATATTGATTATTATCTTTTGACCTCTGATTCTTCTAACCCCCTCTTCAGCTGATCTGGAGTTCCTTGAACTAATCCTTAAAGCCTTGCTGAGTGAGTACTGGGAGATTATCTTGGGTATTTGCAGACAAAAACTCTTTGTCATACATCTGAATATGAGATCAGATATTTGTAAGAATCATGACATAACATTTTGTTCGTTATGGGCAGCCTGTGATGCATGAAGCACCCCAGACCCTTTCCAGTAGATCAGCTTGTGCCACAGTGTTCCCTGTCTTGTACTTGCCATTCCTTCCTACATTCTAGCAGTCCATGCTAAATGGGTTTTTCCAGATTGTTTTTCCAGTTTGTCAAGATCATCTGAATTCTAATCTTACTGTTAATGTTTGTGCAGCCCCTCCCAGGTTGCTGCAATCTCCAAAGGCCTGCCTTATTCCTGCATGTTTGAGCTGTTCCTACTAAACTTTATTCAATGCTACGGAATGTTTTGCTCAATTATTCAATGCTATTGAACCCCACTGGAGGAGGCACGTACTTCAAAGGGGGAGGTGTGTGTGTATGTGCTTTGTATACTAGTGCAGAGAACATCAAGGGCTCCTGGGTATAAAGTTTGAGATATCAGGGGTCGATTCACTAAGAAATGAGCATGGCTTTAGCCCCACTGGGGAGTTTCCTTTTGATCACTTTTTCTTGCTTGGGGTTTTGGTTTTGGTTCAAGTTACACTTGTGAGGCAGTGTTGTATGAATGTATAGGAGTTTATTAAGAGGAGGGTGGAGGCAGTGAATCAATACATGTGCTTATATTTGTGCGTGGCTTCCATAGGAGCTTCGCAATAAAGGGAAGGAGGTCATATAGCTCTTATATTTTAGTGGTATTACTTAGGCTAGACAAGACATTTTGCTGTTGATCCAGGGCCCTATGTGTGCAGTAGAGACATACTTTTGGAGAGCAGAGCTAACCTGACACTCAAGAAAACCCATATTTAATGGTTCTACTCTACTCTCAGGCTGTTTTTTTAGATAGTTCAAAAGCTATGTCTAATCTTGCATCCAGTTTGTTGATGTGTGATGCCTCCAGCTGAAAGCATGACTCATCTGTTGGGAGCTCTTGTGCCCTTCAGGCTCCATAGATCCAGCTCACCTGTGACCACCCTTCTTTTTATTCTGCTAAGGCAATTGGCTGAGATGCATCTGCTAGAAAGCTGGAGTGAGGAGCTGTGCTTTTCCATCTTTGGGAGCACTTAGCTTCCCTGCTGGATAATGAAATGGGGGCTTATGAAATAGAGAAAGCAGAGAAGAAAGAGCTAATGGCAGCTTGGGACACGTATAGAGTCTACCAGCATATATGGCAGCTGCACTGCCACATGTCTGAGAGAAAAGGTTAAAGCTATAATTTAATGTTATCCTTCAAAGACCCCCTTCTCTTAGTCCTGTTGTCCTTCAGGTCTGAAAGTTAAGGTGGAAGAGGTTTTGCAGATGATGCTGGAGGGGTGAGATAACAGAGGTTTCCCTTCATTCTTGTGGCAAGAAGTGAGTCTGTTGGCTGTCTGTTGTTCTTGATGGCACCCAGGTCTGGGAAAAGGTGAGCCCTAACAAAAACCTGGGAAAGGGAGTTGGGAGTGTAGGAAGGGGAACAGAATAAGGGCAAAAGTAAAGAAGCAGCAGGGCAGAGTTAACACTGCAGGTAAATGAAACACAAAGTGCAAAAGCAGAGTGAAGAAGGAAAGGAACAGGAATGGGGAGCTGTGACAAACTCATAGAAATTCTGGTGGCAATGGCATACAATAAAATGCACATTGTTGACTCAGATGTTTCAAAATCTTTCTGTTTGCTTGTGAATTTGTCATCAACAACTGGTCGTGTCCCACTAGATGTGTCCCACTAGACATGTCCCAGTAGAACGTGGAGGGTCATGGACGTCTTGAGGTTCTCCCAGTTCTTCCCCACAGCTTCAGTGGGGCCTGGCCAGCTCTGGGATTACATGGCAGAATTTCCTTTCATATAGCCTTCTGCCCTCAGCCCTTTCTTTATCTTCTGCTGCATCATCACAACTTCAGTACTCACTATGTTATCAAGAAAAATGCATTGATTTCTCTTTTTATTTTGAGTGGGGACTGGATTTTGATCTTCCTAGCATCCTGAATCACTCTTCAAAGGCTCTTTGGGGCAGCAGTTCTCTCTATGCCCTATTTATGATGTGAATCTAGGCTGCATACATGCAGCTGTTTGAACGTTGCATTTACACTAGCAAACTGCTTGCAATGAAAACCTTGCATTTTCCAGAGACTGCAGGCCAGCATAACTGGGCTTGAAGATCAGCTAGTGCTTTACCAAATGGCTGACTTATCTACAGCAGTAAAAAATAAATCAAAATGGTGAATGAGAAAAATACTGGGACATAATAATAAGTGCATAAGAAAGAAGCTGAGCTGGGCTGGGTGGAAACAACCAGTGTCAGGAAAAGGATCTTCTCCAGGTGAATTCACTGGATACCTTTGTGTGGATTCAAGTCCATTTTCTTTGTTTTCCTAAACACAGTTGTATTCATTACCCCACTTGTACTCACTGCCCCACTCAATGTTATGTT